TTGCATTGTCCATACTGTTCTGTTCTCAGAAAGCAGACACTTATATGTTCTGACCACTTCTGTTCTGGCTTCATTGTTCATTGTCCATATGTTCTGGCTTCATTGTCCATACACAATCTTTTTACTGAGCTAGATCACCATATTTTTGACTCACCAGTTGGTGAAAATCATGTTATATTTCAGTTGACCAAGAGCATCATCAAGAGTTTATACTGTGAGGTTAAATTTTACCATCTTGGAAAAAAGACCACTGAGAATTCATCTGGACAAAAAATTAGAAAGAAATTAAATAATCTTGTACCTTTTAAGCACCAGTGTGAGTGATTACACAGAATGTATCAGAGAAAGCTAAATATTACTAAAATTTACTATGAAACTGCCCAAGCTGAAAGTGCAAACTCTGTCTCAGACGTTTCACTAAAGATTTAGAGTGAAAACTACCCAAGCTGAAAGTGCAGACTCAGACTGTCTCAAACATTTCACTAAAGATTTACAGTGAAAACTGCCCAAACTGAAAGTGCAGACTCTGTTTTTACAGTATAAACTGCCTACGCCGATAGTCGAAACGTTACTTACCAACTTCCATTTCCATAAAGTGGTGCCAGAAACCGTAAGTACATGTATTGATTAGACGATACTTCACCAGAGAATCATTCACAGATTCAAAACAAATATATATTAAAGAATGTCGTAATTCGAAATTTTTAGCTTTAAAATGCGATTCAAAGACAACAACATCGCCAATTAATGTTTTTTTCTTGTACCCTTTTCCAAAAAAGCTGCGATTTCAAAGCAAACGTACCTCAAAAAGGTATTTTTAATCCAGAAATGCAAAAAAGCCTCGAAAAGTATAGTATTTTCTATAGCATTTCATTGATGAGTGGGAACGACCAATATGGCCGCCGCCTATTTTCATGGGGGAAACCGCTGAGATTTTTGGCTTCAGTTTTGTATTCCGAGATGCGCTATCTAGTGTATATGAGATATCTAATCTCATACTCATCAATAATTCATAAGTAAATATCCAACCGTATTGCCTCATTTTGCTCGCATGATGATAATGGATACAGTAGCTCGTGAAGTAAACTGATCCAGTACAAGGATTGGATCAAAATTAATTCAGTCCTCGGACTGGATCAAAATGAATTCACCTCACTTTAAGTAGTGATTTATTCGCATAAGATGTCTGTTCAAATCCTCCAACTCAACCTGGACACTAGATTTCAAATCCTCAAATTTTTATTCAGATCCTCGGCTTCGTCTCGACGCTTTGATCAAACTTCGCTTTGATCACACTGCGCGGACTTGAAATCTAGTTCAGTCCTCATAGTCGCATTTGAAATATTACATAATATCGCTATAGAGTGTGAGGATGCTTTCGTAGTGTGGTTAGGTTTTCAAAATTGCGACCTTCGGTTCATACCCTAACTTCCACCCCACGACTACTTTTTTGCACAATGGTACCATACATTCCTGGTCGTTTTCCCGCCTTCTTGCTGTTTCCTTTGTAGTTCAAAATAGAATTGATGAAATTGGTTTAAGCTTACATCTAGCCAGTACCATGCCAACTGGCAATATTTCTGTTAAACCATAGAAACAGTAGATGCAGATACTTTCAGCGTTCCTACTTTCTATTAGACGGCCGGCCAAGCTTGCAAAAAAATGAAGTTCGATGGCAATTCTTTGTTAAAAGCAAGTAACATCGCCAAACACATTCGAATATGCATACTTATAATGGTTTGGGGTGTTACCAGGCTTAATTCGCAGTTTAAGTGCTAAAATTGAAGTATTTTTGAACACAGGTAAACCCGCTTTGTTATAATGTTGAAATATATTGAGATATACAAAGTTCTTTTTCGATCCCTGTTGCCATGCAACAAATAGACCATTCTCATTGGCTGTGACTACTTAGTCTCGCCCGCCCATTGGTAACACATTGGTAGAACACCGGAAATTGCATGTGCGATACGGCTGAAGCACAGACTGAAGTGTAAACGAAGACATAGATATAATTCTTGACAAAATACGGAGATTTAAAGCCAATAAGTGTGATTTTTTACTTGTATTTCTGCTTTATTAACACACATTTACTGCAACCACAATTAAGATATCAAGTTTTACATGAAGACGGTGTAGACGGATTTGTTGTTCTACATTTATTTACTCCAGCTTCAATATTCGGTGGTCGATATAACCGACAAACAAACTCTTGAAGCTAAAAATCCTAAAGCTTGAAATCCTAAAATATTATCAATAATAGGCTGATAGGCGTTCAATAATTTCATGAACGGAATAGCATTTTGGTTGTTTTGCGTATTAAAACTAAAAGCACCAAAACATCTGTATCCCTACAGCGTACTAAATCCTTTTAAAACCCTTGGAAACCGCATGACAAGCATGCAAAATCATTTCATGTAATCACAGAGTAGACAAAGTGTAGAAGTATCCTGGCTGGCATTTTTGTTTTTCAAGTATAGCTATACTGGAAGCAAGTCGCCCTCTCGTTTTGATGATGAAGGAATGATGTTGTCAATGACTTGGATTATTAAATAAAATTATACCAAACCAGTTTTAAAGCTTAAATTATCTAAAAAAAACTCTCGTAGGTATAAACAAACTAAACTAGAAATAACTCGTAAAAATATTAAGTAAAATACAATTACAACAGTGCAAATGAATGCTCAACTAGTTTTAAAGCTTTACACTAAACAACTAACGTAAGTAACTAACTAAGATAGAAATTACTCGTGTTAAAAACAAAAACAACAGTGCGAAGAAAGGCTGATAAAATGACTTTTTTGTTTATTATTTTTATATTTGTAATAAATATTACACAAACTTGGTTTCCCTTGACTTTTCTTTTTCCAATTTAATTTTCTTGTCCGTTTATGCTCGACTAACTCTGTTTACACTTGATTAAATCTCTTTAAACACAATATATAAAGTCCTTCCTTGCATGTTGATTGTCAAAGAGGATATGATTCGGTTGCTCTCTGATTGGCTCACACATTTTCCAGCAACCAATCAGAGTATAGTTCATGGGGGAAAACATGCAGCTTCTCGCATATCTATGAATTAGATGTGTGAAAAACCCGCTTTGCCGTTCGTAAATGAGGTAGAAAAACCTCGATTTTTCCGTGTAAACTAAAAAAATAAGCTTGGTATAACAAGCAGATTCGTGTTCACTAAATTCTAAGCTATTCAGTCATGCTAATTACCAGCTTGTAACATGAAATTGCCATCGGAATTTTTTTGAAGCGTTTTTCGCAAGCTTGGCCGGCCGTCTATATTATTCTATCAGAAATTAGACCAAAATTAAAATATGTACATGGTCAGAATAGATACTTCTTTTTTCAACGTTAGTGTAACCTATAGCTATATTGAGCATATTTCCAGAACTTACAACAGGTATATTGACATTTTTATAACCTATTTTAATAAGGAATGTTTTCTTTGAACAAAATTCCAGAATTTGGAATTTTCAGCAAGAGTGTAGTCTTTGCGCAGCGTGCACATCTTACAGTAATCGGATCCCTTTATAAACAGCGCCAGAATGTTTCTGACAAGCTCCTGTCATTTCTTATATTTGTATTATATATATATATATATATATATATATATATATATATATATATATATATATATATATATATATATATATATATATATATATATATATATATATGACTGTGTTTGAGGAAACATGTCTGGTATAATATTCTTGTGGTTTTGTTGAACTTTTCTTCAGACATACAAAGTAAAAACTTTTATTCGTAAAATAACGTTTTAAAAATCCCAAACGTTTCGCCGATCAAGGCTTCTTCAGTGGGAAACTAGTTAAAAGTCATATAATGTCCCTATATATATGCAAGTCCGTCAATACTCAATAGCCAAAATTACAATATATAAAACTAATTAGAGATAAAACGACTGTCTTGATTACATGTACAGGATTAAAAAAAATTAAAATTAATTATATATACAAGATTTAAGAAAATTTAAATACTAATTGTATAAAAGTGTTCTCCCAGTACAGCCATTCATAATTTTGTCAGCATTGTTTCGTATCTCGACTGCTTCAATGTACCTTCGCTCCTCTTAGGTTGGTTGCGGATATGTGTGTGTAAAATTTTCCAACTTATTTTAGCGTCCTCAGGTCTCTGATTGTGGGAAATTATGTGTCTGTATACGGTCTGCTTATCCATTGATAAGTGTTCTTTAATTCTTTGGCCTATTGTTCTTCCTGTCTCGCCGATGTATATAATATCGCAGGTCGGGCATGTAATTTGGTAGACCACATTCTTCGCTAAGCACTGGTTACGCTTCGATGCAAATTTACACGTTATGCATTTGTCAGGACAATTTGGTTTATTTCTTGGTGGTGCGAACACTTTAGCCAATGGTCTGCCATTCTCAAAATAAATTTTAATGTTTGCTATACCTGAACGGCGTACGACACCCAATGCCCGTCGTTTAAGTTCTTCATTAATGAAGGGCATTTTAATGTAAATAGTTTTCTGTTGTTCGTCGTCTTCATTTCGTGTGGTGGTAGTTACACGTGACGCATTTCGAATGGTCGTTCTTATCATTTATCTGGGGTACGCATTGTTTAAAAACAATTCCGTCACTGTGCTTAACGATTTCCTTCGAGCTTGTTGATTGTAAGAGCAATAGATGGCTCGCTTGATTTCGCCAATAAGTATCGCTCTTTTTGATGCTATCGTGCCGTGGCTGCCCCAGGGTATAATACAACCACTGTGTATGGGTTTCCTATACAGGCATGTAGAAAACGTTTTGGTATCCGAATTAAAAGTGACTAATGTGTCGAGAAATGGCAATTGGTTGTTATTGGGTAGTTCCAGTGTAAATTTGATTGCATCATTTTGGTCATTAGTTTGGTCAGTCGTTCTACCACTCCTTATTCGCCATACCTCGTCTTGTCCTTTCAATGTAGTCCCATGATCTGTCACAGTACTAATTTCTCATATATTATCTCTATAGATGATATTAATGAATGTACAGCCACACCCCCAAAATGTGCAGCAGCAGATCAAAGTTGTACCAACTTTCCAGGAGCATATCGCTGTAGTTGTATCAGTCCCAGACAGCAACTTAATGCTGACGAATCAGCATGTATTGGTATGTATAATATTAATTAATATTTTTCATTTGCCTGAGTCTTTCACATGTCTTTAAAACCAAAACCAAAACGTCAAATTTTTGTGCAAATCTTAAAACAATAAATGTTTTTCGCCTTATACTGTATATATTTTTAAAAGAATGGGAAAGAACTTAAAATTCCAAATTTTTCTGCACTTATTCCGTGCCTATAGTCTACCTTTATGATACGTTGCCTTCACCAGCCCGAATTTACCTCAGGTCCCGTTTACATGAAACAGGGACGAAGTCAAAGCGGAATGAAAATTGAAATTGCCAACATGTTCACTTTCAATTAATGCCCCTTGCCAGGCAATTTTTTTTAAAAAATGGATTTTGTTAGCATGTGTTGTTCCAATGTCCGTTAGGTTACAGCCGAGACCACTCTGTTTATATTCATCCAAGTCTCATTCATGCCTGCTTGAAGTCAGTTAGCTGATCGGTCCAGCAGGCGGAATGACTTGAGACCGGTTTGAGTTATTTTCGTCCCGGTCTCATGTAAACATCTATTATAAATATAATACTATGAAATGAAACATAATAGTTCTGGTTTGACTTCGTTCCGGTCTCACGTAAACGGAGCTTTAATTACCTTACCCCAACATGACTCACCTTAATACACATTTTCTCGCCCTACCTCATCGAGTCATATCACTTTTTCTTACACAATTCTACCGTCCACAGGTACATTCTACTCAACCATACTTTATTTTATTTTACTCGTTGGGTATGGGGAAATTTAAGCCCCCCACCCCACCCTTACTGCGTCAATCCAGGACGCTATATCACCTTAACTCTCCCTACAGTATTTATGCATCCATTTAAATAAATTTACCATATTCCATCTTATCCTACCTTATCTTACTCAACCTACTTTGCCTTATCTCGCGATACCTGAACCGTACCTTACCTCTTTACCTTACCTTACCTTACCTTACCTTACCTTACCTTACCTTACCTTACCTTGCCTTGCCTTGCCTTGCCTTGCCTTGCCTTACCTTACCTTACCTTACCTTACCTTACCTTACCTTGCCTTGCCTTGCCTTGCCTTGCATTGCCTTGCCTTGCCTTGCCTTGCCTTCCCTTCCCTTCCCTTGCGTTCCCTTCCCTTCTCTTCCCTTGCCTTCCCTTCCTTTACCTCACCTTACCTTACCTTAACTTACCTTAACTTACCTTAACTTACCTTAACTTACCTTAACTTACCTTACATCACATCTCATCACATTACATTACATTACATTACATTACATTGCATGATTAGCTTATCTTATCGCCTTACCTAGCTCATGCATCTAGCCTTATCTAGCTTAGGAATTAGGAATTATTCAAATTACATTGCAGCAAAAGCTGAATTACGTAATAGTTACAAAGTATTATGTATTAAAGTGCTGAATCTATTAGCATTAAAAAGATTAAAAATATTAAAAATTACAGCTAGCATATTCAACACGACTTATTGAACTTATTGCACATGGCAATGATAAATGACTTTTTAGTCCTATTTGTTTTAATAAGAGGAATATTAAAATTGTTTTCGTTTTCTAGAATGTGGCCCGAATTATGTTTTTCAGGAAGTAAATGACGAATCTTATGATTTGTATCAAGTATTACAGATTGAAACGAATTGTCACATAGATTTTCATCACAAAACTTCACCAGTATTGACTAATCACACCAAACCTCAACCCTCATATTTTGCTACCTTACCTGACCTTATCCAACCTTATCTTGCACTCTCAAGTTAAGCACTTTGGTTAAATTCTATTGCATTATTCATTAAGTGGGACAAAAATTGAATGATGTGGCTATTGATGTGTTTATTAAATCTATCCAATTTCCACAACTTAACTTATCTTGAAATTAGATACAACCGATTATTTATCTCCCTAGATGTGGTGGCGTCTGTCCAGGGTGGCATAAGGATTATAAATCGTAATTTCGAACCAGAGTATAATGACACCACCAGCGCAGGATACTTTCAAATTACTCAAGTAATCATCGTTGCGGTATGGACATAATTTGTGCAGTTTTATACTTCATAAAAAACGTAACAGTATTTACAAATGAATGTTTAAAAGACCAAAGCTCACAATAATCTACTACAATGTACTACAAATATTATTAGAATATTAATGGCGTTTCATCTTTTAGTTGGAGGCAAATTACAGAAACACGAGGTTTGGAGCTTTCTTTGTCGGAATCATTATTACACGAATATAGTAAGTGGTTCATTTTTTTATTCAGCACAAATATTGTTTACCTAGTACTTAATATGATTAATTTTCACATCGGAAAACTCGTAACTGACAGACGCATGCAGAATTTGTTTTGACTCAACTATATATCATAAATTAGAAAGAAAAAAATAGCCTGCCGTTTGGTCGGGAAATCTTGGCAATGTCAAAGTGGCCAGTGTAGATATAGTCAGAGTTTCAAGCCGGTTACAGTCTTACAGACGAGCAAGTTTTCTATGGCAATTGCAAGTTTCCATATTTTTAAAGTTTGCGAGTCCAAGACGACCATGCAGGTATAATATCAGATACGATTTCACTTTATCCTTATCCTTATCCAATGCATGATTACTTATATTTATATGTCATGCTTCTAAGTAACGTTTTACGATTCTAAATTCCAACATGCGAGCACCTGAAACATTACCAAATTATACAATATATGCCGACTTTTGATGTTCACCTAATATATATATATATATATATATATATATATATATATATATATATATATATATATATATATATATATATATATATATATATATATATATATATATATATATATATATATATATATATATATATATATATATATATATATATATATATATATATATAATATGTGTATATATATATATATATATATATTGAGTTAAGAGAGACTTCTTAGTTTAAAAACATTTAATTGCTACTCTGAGTTTCATGCTTCTACTGAAGCAATCGTCAGGCAAATGCCGATCGGAGATGTTAGATTACATGGCAAGTTCATTGATAAACAAATTACAATAAATTTAAAATGCTAAAAAGTCATAAAATCTAAGTACTATGTGGGTTCATTGTCTCTACATTACATGTTCATTGTTGTATTGTTTCACGGATGGATTAAAATATTGTTTATATGCTAAGTGTTAAAAGCTATGGTTCATCGTTCTAACTAAGTAATTGCATTGTCCAATAAAAATTTCTTTGAATGTCCACATTCCGACATAAGTTCACTTCTTTTGTTGAGCGTTGCAGTCTTACGTTGACGTATTATGTAATATTTCTCCCACAGGCACAAATAAGTAAGACAAGCTAGATAATACACCAACGTTAGCAAAAAATCCAACAACAATACTCGAATCGACCTGACCGCGGTGCTCAGTTGGCAGAGCATTGGGCTAGTATTCCAAAGGTCATAGGTTCGAATCCCACGGTGGTCAGGCATATTTTTCAAGCCTGCCTGGTGTGGATACACACTCAGAGTAACATCACACAAGCATCTAATTCACCTGAGTACATTACACCAACACAGCAATATCAGAATATAACTTGCTTTTTTCCACAGTGATAAGCTGTGGACCTTCCATGATTTCTTTCACTCTCTGTTCGGCATCATACATTGCATTTACAAGCGGTGGTTGACAATACAACTGTGTTTGTATAAACTTTGCATTCTCGCCAGGAAGTACGGGTTGCAGTGAATGAACAAACTTTAAACATTCACGCAGAGTCAAACAAAAATATGCCAAAACATGATACGTATGTTCTTTGCGAGACCCCTGCTTTGCACTTAGTTCAACAGCATCGATTAAATACATGAAATTTTGTAACAATAATCTGGAATCTTTTCCAGTAAAACGATAATCAAATGCTTTACCATTTGCTCCAGTTTCGTTGAACCATCTCACAATCCTATTTGCAAGGCGAGAAAGTTTACATTTTGTTTTCTTTGCATTAACATACGGTGCAAAGGGTGAACTGCCAGGAATTTTGGAAAATATTGTCTCTGTTAAATTTGAATGACTAATCACTTCATTCAAAAGATACGTATGGGCATGAGCACAAGCATTGTTTTTTAAATGCAAAGGGTCTACATGTGCACGGTCTACAATGTTCCCTAACAAAGGTTCAAATTCCTGTCTGCTCTTTTTCTCGGCAATGAAACTTGTTACTTTATTCCGTTTGGTGGTATCGGACAACTTTGTCTTGGAAATTTTATTCTTTAACTGCTCAACAGACTTAACAACCTTCATCCTATCTGAATATTCCCAGGACTTCCATGTGTTTTTGGCCTCCCTACCAAATGTACCATGAATATTATCAGCGTTGTCACCAGATACGTCAGCAAATGACGAGAAACATTTTGCACTATTACTTAATTCCCCTGCCAAAAATGCTATCATTTTCATATCGTTCGGGAGTTCACCGATTGAAAATCTTACAATTACCTGTTTACAATCATGAGTGCAGCTTATTGGTTCCTTCTCAAGGGAATATATATCAGCTAGAAGCAACTTAATAAACCGTTGAGCAGGAAAAACTACTGAAAAACACATTATTGTGACGTAGGCTTCCTGATTAAAAATTGCTTGAATTGAATTGAATTGAAAATACAGGTTTCACTGCAGTTTGCCCCAAAAAGTAAATAATTCTCGTTGCTGCTTAATACCCCTCTCCCGATATTTAGAAAACTAATCATTCATGCACATGAGGTGTCATCCTTCCCGAATGGTGCGCCATCACCTCCAAGAGAAATAACAAATGTATTAGGTGCACCAAACCAGTTAATCAAATGATCGCTACATCCTGACAGATAGAACTCTGCCAGTTTAACTATAGGCCGTTGGATGAGGGTCGAAAATGTTCAATTCCGTAGCACCCCTCGTGTAACTACATAATTTTTACATGAATGGATAGATTAGAATTTACTTAGTTAGAATCCACTCCCCCCCCCCCCCCCCCCCCAAGCGAAATAGTTGCACAAATTGAAGTACAACCTGTTCAAAGTATACAGGCTTCTTCGAATTTTGAAATCCGTGAACCGCCATTGTTGTGTTGCAAATACGCATGCGCTTGACCGCAAAACACTTGATGCGCACGCGCAGATTAGAAAAGCTGATCTCAATCCAGGACTGGACAAACCTGGACAAGAAAAAATTATAAAATGTGCGAAAGCAGGGCTGAAATAAAACAAGATGACATCGAAGTGTTTTAAAAATATATGATATTTTTACGTTCTGTTCATTTTAATGGAGTTCGCCAAACATTCTTGAGGCCAGGAACACTTCCAAGCCAACATTACAATAATAACTTATTTCTAGAAAAATATGATTGATTTTTATACTACAACAATCACATAACGTTCGCAATTAATTTAAATATTATCACAATCCTAACCATTCAGGACCGTACACAGCGGGGAGACAGCGGGGGGGGGGGGGCAATTGTCCCCTTTAGAAAACTATATTTGCGATTTTTAGAATGTCATTAATTATTCTTCGGGTATCAGTCTGAGTCAGGTAATCTGTTGATTTTGTTCCGATTTGGTCTTGATGCTGTTGGATACCAAATTTAAATTTACTTGAATGATGGACAGTGTGTTGCGGAAAAGTTGTCAATGCTCATTAGATAAGGCGGAAACTCCCTTTCTCTTGGTATGCGCGCGTTGTATGCGCAAGTTATTATAATTAGATATTTAGATAGCAAACGTCACGAAATGCTGTTGTATAACAATACCTCCTATAACCTACAAGGCTGTTTCCTTTTCTGTTTTTTTTTTATAAACTGAGAATGATGATTGCACAAATTGGATTGGCGAAAACAGTTTAAGGATGAAATTGGTTGATACAAAAACAGAGTCGTAATGAAGTTCCAATCAGTGTAACCAATTGGTAGGTTGGCCCTTTAGGTTTGGACCAACCAACTTTGACTCAATAAAATTGACGGGGAAAGATTTAGAAAATAAATAAGGCTGTTAGTTATCGTAATTTCTCTGTTTAACACCACCTCCTCCCCACCCCGGCCCTCTCCTGTAAGCAATTAATGTATAAAAGCGTGAAGCATGAAAGTATTGTATTTGAAAGATAATTATGATATTTGACTGGAAATCACAGTACCCTATGTTGCATATTTAAAGAGAATCAAACCAGTGCAAACAGTTTCTTTGTATATATTAGAAACACCCCCACCCCCTCCTTCCCCCCAAAAATGATAAATTACGGTATGCGTGTCCTAGAATGTTTACAGGGCCGTACGCAGGATTTTTTTCACCAGGGGGCAGTAAGGTCTATATACCGAAAAAAGTCCCAAATATCCGAAGAATAATTAATGACATTTTAAAAACCGCAAATATAGTTTTCTCCCCTTTGATGTCATCTTTTTTATTTCAGCCTTGCTTTCGCACATTTCATAATTTTTTTCTTGTCCAGGTTTGTCCAGTCCTGGATTGAGATCAGTTTTTCTAATCTGCGCGTGCGCATTAATTGTTTTGTGGTCAAGCGCATGCGTATTTGCAATACAACAATGGCGGTTCACGGATTTCAAAATTCGAAGAAGCCTGTATACTTTGGATAGGTTGTACTTCAATTTGTGCAACTATTTCGCTTGGGGGGAAGTGGATTCTAAATAAGTAAGTTCTAATCTATCATTCATGTAAAAATTATGTAGTTACACGTGGGGTGCTACGGAATCTGTTTTCTAAGCATATTTTCGACCCTCATCTCACGGCCTACTACCTTCCCCTTGAGACTTCGATAACATCCACGTACTTTGTCACTTTCATTCAGTCCATCGCAAAGTGTGTCATAAACATTAAAAATTCTACCCAAATCTATGGATTTAACATAGGGCATTAAACGGTTATGGGGGACAAGCCTTGGCAAAGGTCAATGATGAATGGTTAGCCGTAAGCGTTTACTATTACTGCTATCTACATTGTAACAACTATCTTTATAAAGCTTCCTATACTTTTGTTTACCTGTAATACCACTGCTATAATATACTGCAATGCTTCTCACCATATTTTCCACAGATGATTTATTTGATTTTAACTTCTTTCTATATATGCAAGGCAACAATGAATTGACAAACTTTGTGCTTGAAGACATACTATTAACTAAAATGTCTTTCGAGCATTTAGCTAACGCAGTATCTATAAGACCAATTGCTCCAGGTGCTGATAACTCATCCTTTCCTCCATGAATTTTTCTAGCTGCCTCGAATCTGGCTTTTCTTCTTTTCCTGGCTAATGCTGCACTTACACTGATCTTTCAATCTTGAGAATATTTCAGAATCCTCCATCTACTCTTTTCTGTGCTATTACTACCATGTTCCGAACTACCCCTTGCTTCCTGATCTAACTCATCTTTCACTTCCTGCAAACCCTCAACCTCCTTCACAATCTTCTCGACCTATATATTGACAAACTATAGTTCATGAACACAATTGATTATATCATGTTTAGCACGGGAGGTATAACCCAATGTGTTGCATTGCGTCCTGATGCGCCCTACTTTATTATTTTACTATGTCTAAAGGCGTTTTTCCACTAATCGCAAGAGTCAACTCGCAAGCTCGCTGCGAATACTTTCATCCAATCACAATACCCGACAGTTTATCACAATCAGATGCAAACACTCGCAGTGAGGTTGCCAGGTGGTTTTTGCGATGAGTGGAAAAGAGGCTAGACGCCAGACAATTTTACATGTCATGGGGAGAGCGCTGGCACGTAATGGGTTAAACACAGGCTTTTGAGCCGAAGCACAAAATTAAAGGTGATTGGTCATTTTGCTACACACAAAATGGTTTAGGGTTGGAATAGGTTTTGGGTAGGTTTTGGGGGTAGGTGTAGGGTTTAAGGATAGGCCGGTTTAGTGTAGGTTTAAAGTTAGGGACAGGTTTAGGGTAGGTTTGGAGTAGGCGTAGGGTTTATAAGGACAGGTTTAAGGAAGGTTTTGGTTTAGCGTTTCGGTTAGGTTTTGGCCTTTTCAGTTAATAGGATTATGTTTTGTGTGTGTAGAGAAATGACTTGCAGCGAAACGACTGGTACGGCATAAATTTAACAAAACATAACAAAATTTAAGTACCTTCTCGTCAAGCCTTTGACATTTCCCTTTCATTCTGGACTGTTTTTTTGTTTTGTTTTGTTTTCCCAAAGTAACCACAGAAAGTTCGTCCTCAAATTCTTTTATTCCACGGTTCTTCATGACAATTTCCTGCCGTAAACGTTTCTTCTCCTTTGCGAAATCACCAATATTAAATTTCGGCATAGCGACGAGCGAAGCCCAAACGTAGCTCGCGAAATTCAACGAAATACGGCAACTTCAAAGCCAAAAATTAAAAAACTAAAACCAAGGCATCTTGGTTTCATATCAAGTGATTGTCTTTCAGCGATAATTAACGCTTTAACGTAAACAATAAAGAATTTACACCAAGGGTCAAATTCAGTCTTCGCATGAAGAACAACTAAAGGGCCATAAACAGGCAAAATTCGATTTGATGTACTGACGATTAGATTGTACTTCGTAGGTCAAGTTTGGTATCAAAATGTTCCTCGTTATCGCATCTGTTCAGATCCGATTACACGATCCAAGTCCGAACATCTCCGATCACCACTAAAGGCATTGAATTTAACAGATATTTCGGGATTTCAAATCAACACCAGGCTCCAAATTTGCTACTCGGCCGTGCATGCGAATTATTACGCATAAGTTATCGTTTTTGGAACATTTTATGCCCGACGTGTATATTAATTTCGATAACAATTTTGCCATATGAGGGGCTGGAACTAATCTTAATGCCTCTATTGTATCACCCATGTGGAGGGACGCTAAAAAATGCCTAGTCAGCAAGTTTTGTCCGATCTTATTTAAGCTTGCACGCGTGACGTCATGCATATAGTTATGACGTATGCTAATGATGATGCGCCACTACCACACACCACCACCGCAAAAATCCGGATCGACCAGTACTTGTATTCCTACTCTCATGTATGACCTATCAAAAATTTATTAAGCTAGCATTTCATGAATACAGCTACATTTATTTGAGCGACGTGGCTCCTATAGTTTTTTCGCTTTAGTAAAGCAAACGCCTGAACTTTTGGGCCATCAGGTATTTGTCATTTTCGGTTTCGTTTAATGACACTGCGAGCGGACCTCCTTTCCACGTGTTTAGAGTTCCGGGTTTATAAGAAGATTTTTTCAATACAAAAATCTTCTTAATTCTTACAATCATTATAAGAAGATTTAAGACAATTTAAGAGAATTTTTAATTTTCAAATAAAAAATATGATGACGTCATTTTTTATATAAATAATATCACCTACAATATATAGATACTAAAATAACTTATAATGTTACGATGCACAGGAATAAGTCATGATATGTCATAAAATCCACTTGCCGCACTATCGTGGGCATTCATCAAACTGCAGGTAATGAGGTACAGATTATATAGAATTATTTAACACTACAAAATGTTACATTTTTTTATTAAGGTACATTTTTTGTACATTTTTTAATTAATATATAAGAAATTTGGTCCAAAAAACTTTTTATAATAATATAAGATGTTAGAAGAAATAGTATAAGTATATGGCAAAACTCCCATTGGTCGAAATCGATACGCCTGTCAATCAAATGTGATACGTAGTAATTATTCAATTAATTAATTCCCAGACTGAATGTTGATTTTATAAATAAACATGACATTAACGTTCCTATTGGATAGATTTAATTGGATGTAAGTAATGTTTATGCAAAGGCGGAGCCAACTTGACAAGAGCGAAAAGTGGGCGTATTTCGTTTCTTGATATGTTGTTGGCGGTCCCTCTTTTCTCCCGAGGGACTGCTCGCGGTCTATCGTTTAATGATCTTTCCGCCATTGTTTTTGTTCGAAACCTCTCGGAGGCAATGTTTTTTATGTTACCATGGCCTTTACTGACGACCTAAGAGACTGTGGCTGCAAATATACTCGCTCAAAGTCGTGGGAAAATTGAAAGTAGATTGTTCACACTGTGTTGTTGCGAAATATATTGTTGGAAATCGCAATAGTTGGTGGACATATTGAACAACCCTCTCGTTATTTCATTGTGAACCTAACTTGTATGTTTTCAATATTTGCATAAAATATCGGAGCAATTAACGTATTTTTAACTATATACATATATCGCGATTTTGAAACTTTGAAAAACAAACGAATTAATATATATTACAGTTGACTTCTCTTTTTCTGATTCGTCGAACAATTACTCTTTCGAATTTATAATACTTTCCAGCCTTCTTGGTTGATTTTGTGTAAGAATCGGCGGTACTTAAATTAGGGACCGGTCATAAAGTATTTACTATGGGGTGTGGAGGATATTATGGGCGGGGGGAACCCAGAACCTCTGAGGGGGTACGAAAAAAACAACAGAACTTCTAAGGGGTACCAAAATTTTAGTATTATATCAATCAAATCAATCAATTCAAATCATATAGGTAGGGAAAAAATTACATTTTATAATTGTTGTTGAATATTGAATGTATTTGTGCCCAGATTTAAGTTTTGAAAGAATTGTTTTACTATAATTATTATTAAATCAAAACAAACTTATATATGTTTCAATCTGACTCAATGTCAGATAATAAGTAGGATTCAGTATCCGTGGACTTTTGGAGTACAAATCTGATACATCTGAATTGTCAATGACAATGCTAACAAGCTCACACCATTAGAACCTGTTTAAATTATTTAAGGGGGGTATGAAAACTTTCACTTATATTGAAGGGGGTTACGAAAATTTTTCCATAGGTCTTTGGGAGGGTATGGAAATATGTACTTGAAATTTCATTTATCCTCCACCTCCCTCGAGTAATTACTTTATGACCGGTCCCTTATTTAGTTCATTATAAAACCGCTATCTTGAAATTACCTGCATTGAAATGAGCCTGCAATCCCATGCCGTTGAGTGTATGAAATTTCTATGCATGTTTGTTGTATACGTAGCTACACAAGCTTAATTGAACGCGTTTCTATTTCTATCTTGCAGTCCAGGATCGGTGGGCGTCGACTACGTCGCAGGGTTTAACAACTCAAATGGAGTAAATAATCAAAATTTACAGCAAGAATTGATCAGTACATTGAACTATACAACTAATGGCACGTTTCTTGGTGATAGCGACCTTAAACTAAGCGAGGAGACTAATCGAACAAAAGTGGCTGAGGCTTTGACATTTCAAGGTAGCTGTGGCATGCAATCTTATATAAAGCTTATTAGTATAAATGTTTCAAACCAAATGAACTTCTGCGCGTTTTAATTGGCTAGTTGACAAGTGAATCTGACGCAATATTTACTAACAGGCTGGTAAATAATGCTTTTGAAAAGAATGGTTCGGCAAACTTAAGCTTGCTTCAAAAATTGATAAAATGTTAAAACTTTCGTCTTCAGAAAACAATCCCCGACTTTTTGCAAAAACTTGCCGTGTTATTGTTTTAAAACCATTTTGTTATGTATCCTATATACATTTCTTGTTTTATTGTGGTCTACTGTATCCTGATCGACTTTCTAAATTGTATTTTCCAAACTTGTAAAGTGAAAAGTTTATTATGCAATTTTTTTTTGAGCAACAGTTTTATTTTATCAAAATTTTCAGACTTTTCCTTAACAAACTTAACCAGAAACTATTTTTTAATTCCAAGTTTAGTGGAAAAGTTATTTTGTCATTGTGTTTTATATTCTAAGCAGAGATTCACCGATAAAAACAACTTTGTAATAAAACAATAAAATCGAACAGGAACACCAAAAACGTTTGGAGTTAATTTAACTTTATGCTTGAAATTTACAGTAAACACGAAGCTCTAGGAAGATGTTCTGTGACTGGTTGACTATGACAATGACAAAAGACGTAATTGGCTTACATAAACAAAAGGAATATTGTTCTTGCTTCCCGGGTTTCTTTTAAGAAAAATTTAGAACTGCACACATAGGAATGTTACGAAGGCAATGGGTGTTTGACTAGGGGTTAGAAGTATTTTGTACCTGCATATAGGTGACATAATAATGGTGTGGTTGGGTGGGAGAATTGGAGAAAGGCCAGACAAACTCGGGATTGCTCACGAGTGTTGAGCAGAGCGGTCACGATTTTTGCTGTTCCGTAAAAGATCTTGAAATTAGTGAAATAAGAGTTAAAATCTCGAATAAATATAATGGCTACAGCCACTAACGCATTAGCTACGGCAAAGAAAATGAAGCCCTGAAAGAAGAAATCCAACAGATAATGACGAAATTACAACATCTAGAACAAAACTTCGACACGAAGAAGGAAGCAGACGGTATGGGTGCTCATAAAGAGGAAGCCGTATCATCATTAGCAACCAGCATGATGAATTGGCTGGATTCAAAACTCATGCGATGAAAGAATTGAAATCCATAAATGCCAGAGTTGACCAAATTTCCACTAGGTGTAACGATATAGCTAAATGTGTCGAAGCGATGGAGGAGTATAGCTACCAAATTAATGTCAAGAATTGTTGGTATGCCTCTAAAATTAGAGAAAGAAAGCCGGGAAACGACGGCTAATTTTTGCTTACAACTTTCTGCAGCCGTGGGCCGGGGGTTAAAGATGTTTCATTACAAAACATTGATATTGCTCATCGAGTTGGCGCACGCCGAGCGTCTTCATGCCCAAACGCCATAATCTGTAAATTTGTTCGGAGACTGGCAAAAATAAAGTAATGGAGGCTACAAAAAAAGCATCTAAACTGCAAGCTGTTCAACTTGGGTTCTCCTCGGGTACTTCTGTCGAACATGTTAATATTTACGATCACCTAACACCGCGTCTCCGGACACTATTGTATGAAGCAAAACAAGCCAACAACTACAAATTTTGTTGGGCTAAAAACGGCCAAGTTTATTTACGCCAAACTGAGAATTCAAGTATTATCCAACTGAAGCATATTGGAGATTTGGCAGCGATTGATCTTACACGCCAGAGCTAAGTATTTAAACTACGTTAAAACGATTATTGTAATATATCATGTCGCATAACTCAAAATGCCTTCAATTACACGTATAAGGATAGTATAAATGATATTATATCTCTATTTCAAGAGTTGCCCTATAATAATGTAAATATTCTTGAATGCCATGGACAATTTAATAATAGTATGGCCACAAATTTACCCACAAAAAAAGAACTGGTCAAGTTATGTAGCCTAGTATTTATGACTTAGACTTATTTAATCTAAACACGAACTCAAACATAAATCCAGATTGTAATCTACCATCTAAATCTATACGCAGCAATTATTACTCTCCTCATAGATTTTGCGAACAAAAAGTTCTTATAAGATTCCCAATTCATGCCTTTCATTTCTTCATATAACACCGTAAGGAGTTTGAAGCGTAATTTGGACCATTTTCAAAACCATTTGTTGCATGAATTAGACCACAACTTTAGCATAATTGTGAAATATCCGAAACAAGAATAATTAACACAGGCTTTCTTGATTTCAATCCGAACATTCCGGGATATAATTTTGAATACGTCCCGACTCCACTCTCCGCAGGGGGAGTTGGAATGTGCATAGATGATAATCTAAACTATACAGGGTGTCCCAAAAAAAAGTGACACTATAGAAATTATCTCATTGTTCTTAAGCCGCTCTTAAACGCGCGTAATTACACGCCCGGGAATTTAATGAACTTGTATTTACATTTAAGCATTTTAAAACGTTTTCGCTTTGTCCAAATATTTTAACGCCCGAGTCAAGCAAAACGATTACACTAATAAACGGTTTGCTTTTTTATTTTAAATTCCAGAAGCAGAAGTTTATGCACCTGTGGGATCAACTTAATGCTAGGGCATTCAAATTATAACAATAGGATAATTTCTATGGGGTCACTTTTTTTTGGGACACCCTGTATAGAATAATTGAAAAAAGTTCCAATGAAGCGTTTCAGGCTCTTTGGGTTGAAATTGAATTTACTGACAAAGCTAATATTATATGCGCAGTAATTTACAGACAACATAACTCGCCAGAGTGTTTCCAAATTATTTTGAAGATATCATAGCGAAACTTAGTACCTCAAACAAGCCAATTTATATTCTTGGAGATTTTAACATAAACCTTCTTCCATTTGAAACTTGCAAATATGCTCACAATTTCTTAGTATTATTACAAAGTTATGGATTTAGTCCAACAATAGACAAACAAACTAGAGTGCATAACAATTTTGCCACACTTATTGATAACATGCATTCTAATAAGAAATGGTAGTATCTTTGTAATTAGCGAAAATATAGTGTCAGATATTAGCGATCACTATTTACAATTTTGTATTATACCATCTATTACATATAAACCAACTGACAACGTATCATTTAACAACAAAATTCGTGATTTTTCTCTCTTTTCCTTGACCCCACTTAAAAATCATCTCTTGGGAATTGATTTTGATAGTTTATAAGGACAAACACGTAATGATATTGATAAAATGTTTTCAAGTTTTTATAACAAGACTAATAAAATAATCAATAAACATGCACCATTAAAATCCATATCTAAGCGTAAAACAAAACAGCTTTTAAAACCATGGATAACAAAGGGCTTACTCAAATCGATAAAGGCGAAAAATAAGCTTTAATTTTAAGGTAACACAGAAACATATTAAAAATATAGAAACAAGATCTCCATTTTAACTCGTATAAATAAGGAGCAATATTATCATAACTTATTTCTAATAATATGAAGAAAACATGGCAGGAAATTAATAATTTATTAAATAAAAAAAGGAAAACTAAACATACTATTACTCAAATTAAAAGACTTAGTAATGGGATAACTAAAAACCCATGTGAGACTTCTAACATATTTATCAAACATTTTGCAACTGTTGGTGATAATTAAGCTAACATCCCAGCTGCCTTAATCGAAACACGCTTATCATGAATATTTAAAGAGTCCACCCCGTCCGGATCTTTTTCATTAAGTCCAACTACGCCAGAGGAAATACAGAATGAAATAAAACTATTATCTTACAATAAAGCTTATGAGTTGTATAACCCGAAAATCCTAAAATTTGCTCAATCTGTTTTATTCATAACTTTATTTAGAATTATGGACAGATCTATAGAAATTGGAAAGTACCCGAGTAACTTGAAATTTTCCAAAATTGTACCTATATAAAAATGACGATGATGAAGATTCAGGAAACTATAGGCCTATCTCTCTTTTCTCAAATATTAATAAAATTCAGGAGAAGCTGATGTACAACAGGTTTGCCTCTTTTCTGAAAAAAAACAATACCTTGTTTTTTACTCAATATGGTTTTCGTAAGAAACACTCGACACAGCATGCTCTTCTAGAAATAGTTAGTAAAATTCAAAGTAATATGGACATTAAGTTATTTTCTTGTGGTATTTTTATAGACTTGCAAAAAGCATTTGACACCGTTAACCATACAATTCTTATCAGTAAATCAAATTATTATGGCATAAGGGGTGGTATTAATAACTGCTTTTGTTCGTATCTCAATGGAAGATCACAGACAACTCAAATAAGTTCAAAAATTTCAAATAAAGAGCTCATATTATGTGGTGTCCAACAAGGCTCAGTTCTGCGTCTAAAGACATGGCTGATATCAATGGTTATTTTCAGTCTGTATTTAATATACCCGATGACAATGCAAACCCCTCGGTTTCGCCTACATGCATAAACACAGAAAACTTGTTATCAAACATACATCTTAGTGCATCGGAAGTAGAAAACGCACTAAATACCATTGATCCAAGCAAAGCCTCAGGCCCAGACAAGATCACGGGCAGACTTCTCAAGGAAATTGCTCCACAAATCGCTTGCTCTCTTTACCGCGTATTCAACCTATATCTATCATTAGGTATGTTCCCAGATCGATGGAAGTTAGCAGACGTGACCCCAGTTTTTAAATATGATGATCCATCACTAGTTAACAATTACAGACCTATTTCTCTATTAAGTCTCCTCTCAAAATCTTTGGAAAGGTGTGTTCACAATCACTGTCTTGCCCACATATCTCCCCAATTGTATCGTATGCAACATGGCTTCTTGAAAGGAAGATTTACCGTTACTCAACTTCTTGCGGTTTATCAAGATAGCATTGAAGGCCTGGCTGAAGGTAAAGAAACGGACATAATCTATTTGGGCTTTAGCAAAGCTTTTTATAAAGTGCCGCACTCTTTTCTTATCAGAAAATTACCTCTCTTCGGCATAACAGGCGACTTATTACTTTGGTTTGAAAGTTACCTCTCAGGAAGACACCAACGAGTTACCCTGCATGGACTATATTCCGAAAGTCTTGAAGTTTATTCCGGTGTCCCACAAGGTTCTATTCTAGGGTCACTCTTGTTCCTGGTTTATAGAGATGACCTGCCAGGGTACATTAAAAATAAGTCCAAGATTGCCCTATTTGCTGACGACTCCAAACTGTACAAGGCCATCTCAAAATTATCGGGTTCTGAAGCTCTTCAAGAAGACCTTTCCTGTCTTTCTGACTTTGGTAAAGATTGGAATACATCCAAATGCAAGGCTCTAAACATCTCCAGAAAGAAATCCTCTACTGTACGGAATCACCAGCTTAATAACGAATCACTGCTCACTGTTAAACAGATCACTTACTTGGGAATTTCCATCAATGACAAGCTGCTCTGGTCCTCGCATATCGCTCAGATATCCAAACGAGCCAATCGCACTTTGGGTCTCGTGAAAACATTGTGCAGGGATTTTCTGGATTCCGAAACCCGCAAACTCCTATATTGCCAAATTGTTCGCCCCATAATGGAATATGCAAGTGAACTCTGGTCACCATACACCATCAAATATCAGATGATATTGGAAAACGTGCAACGCAGGGCTACAAAATTTATATTAAATTATCCTGACGATCTCAATTACAAACAGCGCCTCCTTAAGTTATCCTTGTTACCTTTGGAGTATAGAAGAGTTTCGAAAGACACGATTCTTTTATTCAAACACAGACTAGGCTTAATAGTTCTAGATCATCCCTCCCTACAACAGTACTCTGCCCAACATCGTGTAATTACCCGTAACTTTTCCTCCCTGAATTACAAGACACAGCGAGCAACTCAAAATTACCTAAAATACTCCTATTTCCACCGTGTCGTTTCCACCTGGAACTCACTACCACTAGATATCAAAAGTTCAACAAACTTGGTAACTTTTAAAAAGCTATCTCAGACTATTATACGATGAAAGTTGATTCTTATATTCTTCCAGACGAAAGACGTACTTAACTAATTTTAGACTAAGTACTGTAGTAACTCCTGTTGTCACTGTAAAGCTGATAACTAATTCAATAAATTCAAAATTCAAATTCATATACTATTTTAATATATATATATTAATGATATGCGTTATTTATCTAATAAGTTGCAGTTTTTCCTTTTTGCTGATGATACTAATCTACTCTATGCAGACAAAAACTTAAAATCACTTGAGAAAGTTGTGAACAAAGAATTGGAACATGTTTCTGACATAATTGCAAATAAACTGACCTTAAATATTAAGAAATCGAATTATGTCATATTTCGTTCTCATAAAAAAAGCTTGATTATACTCCTAATCTCAAAGTCTTCGATCATAAATCTGGTACTCGGATTTCGCTTGAATCAAAGATTTTTATTAAGTACCTTGGTATCTTATTGGACAGCAATTTATCTTGGAAAGCACACATAGATTACATTAGTTTAAGGTAATTCCGCAGTAATTGTTCCCAAAATGAGAATGTGCTAAAACTTCCCAGACATGGAGTTTATGATATACTTAAAGTAAAATTACACAAAAAAGTCGGGGTCACCGAACTCGTTAAGAAGATATGAAATCACAATATACCACCTTTACCCCAATATGGCGCCATCTTGACGCTCATGAGCTACGAGTAACAGCAAACTCACAAGATTCCAATATTTATTGACGTTTTTAGCGCGGATTTTGCTTTAGTAAACCTATCTTGTAATTATTTTTGAAAAAATATTGTCTTTTGAGCAAAAGGAAACTACTAACGTGTACAATTCTGATCCACAAATGTCTTTTGCACATTTCTTTTGCATATCTTTCTTTGAGAACATGCATTGATAAAGCATTTTTTTCAAAATCCAGAAATGATTTTTCTTTTAAATTCGGATATGAAATTGCGCAGTAAACGTGCCCAATGCAAAACTACGGATTAACCTTAAAGATTAGCAAAACTATCGGCATAATATCAAGATTAAGGTATTATTTACTCCTACCAATTTTATTGAACATTTATCGTTCTCTTGTATATCCATATTTAACTTATGGACTAGTAGTTTGGGGTGAAACAGCTCAATTATATCTTAATAAAATTTTACTCCTTCAGAAGTATGTTCTGACAATTTTGAACTTCTCAACGAACAGAGAACAAGCAATACCATTTTTTATTACCTCTAATGTTCTTCCAATAAAAATGCTCTATTATAATCTAATTGAACTCCTCCTAATATAACCAACTTATTTAAGAGGATAAGCTCAATCCATTCTTATAACACTAGAGCACCAAAAGCTGAAAACTTCTATTTCCAATATTCGAGGCTAAACTGTCAGAGGGATTATTTTTCCCGTGTTGGTACGAAAATATGGAATAATATTCCTGACAACTTACGTAAACAATCTTTAATATTATTTAAGAAAAGTATTCATAGAATTCTCTTGCAAGTTCTTGTCGAGGCGGATTTTTATGTTGATATCTCTGAAATAAATTATAAGATTACCAAAATTCAAAATAACTAAAGGGAATTTACGAACATTTATATGATTGACTTCAGTTAGTTATCCAAGGCATGACAAATTTATATCAATACTCGGCAACAGTTTTTACCCATCTTTATATAAAAAAAACTTTTTGGACTTTATTTATATGCTATTAATATCTAACTATAAGAATACCCGCCCAGATTAGCTTATGCTATTTGCGGGTGTGTTAATTTATGTAAATGTCAACCTATATTAATTGGATAAAATTGTAATTGTAAATAGTAATTTTGGGTGCGGTCTAGAGGTTGTTAAGTTCTGGCAAAGATTTGTTTTACCCAACCACTCACTTGTCAAAAACTGTTTCAAAACATGTAACTGGGAATCATGGATATTCAATATATAACAACTTTAAATTTGCATTTGAGGCAGCAAAGAATATACGGTTCCCACTCTTATCTCTTTTGGAGGGCTTCGCTCGCCCCAATTTTATTACCTTCTTTTCCACTACCCATGCAGCATGTAAGTGTTTTGTGAGGAAAATAAGATGGTCGAGAGTCCTCCCCCCAGAAATCGTTAATATTTTTGATGCTGAATTAATAACAGCATTTCTGGAATTTTCCGGAGCATCTACAAGGGTAACAAGTAAATGAGAATACTGTTTTAATTAAGACTATTTTTGTTAGTTTGGTGACTTTACATTTGTGTTTTAAGAACTGCACAAATGGGTTTAGAACTGCACATTTTGTATAAAACTGCATGTTAAAATAAACATTGCTGGCTTCTTTCTTTAGAAAATCCATTCTATAGCTTATTCTTTTGTCATTGTCATGATCAACTAATCACAGAACATCTTCCTAAAGCTTCGTGCAGACCCAAAATTTACAGTGAAGCCATTTTGAAAGCTTGTGTGCAGGGCCTCCCAGAGGGGGGATGGGCAAAGGGGGGAATTTGCCTCCGACCCTAGTTAAAGTGCCCCCAAAGATTTGCAAAAGGGAGGCACAAAAGGTGTAACTTTAGAAAATAGTATGAGAAAAACAATAATCGTATGAGAAAAAATTTTTAGACCTTAAATTTTACTGGTATTGGTCCGAAAAATTGTGTTTTACTCGTCTTTTCACAGGTATTGTTTCTAGAAACACATTTCGAACTTTTTTAATATTTGGAAGTATTTTACACCCCCACCTGCTCGCCAACATTTTGGGAAAATTAGGGGGCCCGAATTATAAATTTATCCCGGCCCCCCCTACTTCTCTGGGAAGCCCTGCTTGTGCGTACAAGAAACACTGCAATACTAAAATAATTCTTAATTAAATTGATATTTGGACATGTTGTTTTATTTTGTTAAAATAATATACTAAAACAATTATTCGCCTCAAGCTCAGTGATTATTGGTGAATATTTACCTCAACATCGTCTCGGTAAACAATATACAAATAATGAATGTTTAGGAAAGCAATGGTAAAACCATTTTTATGTTTCCATTTGATGAAGGCGACAGGCGTTTGGAATGGAAAATTCCATCTTTCACCGAATGAAAATATTTTTATTATGCACGAATGAAAACCTTCATTATTGTAAACGTGCGTTGGTGTAAGTGTCTTAATGTCTTAATGGGACTTTACTTTCAGATTACGACGAATGCAATCCTGCAGTGTCTGTCCACACGCCTGATTGTGGTAACAATGCAACATGTGTCAACACAAATACAAGTTATGATTGTATCTGTGATGCAGGATTTATTCAAAATGGCACCGGATGTAATAGTAAGTATGACCATCCTCGGTATTCCACGGAAATTGTGTGTATACGTTCCTTTTACAGATTAATAGAATTCTAAAATTATGCTAATGTGATATTGTTCGAAAATCGTAAGGTCACGTGAACATTTTTCGCCCTTGAAGACGTCCACATGTGGTAAACACTTGGTCATGCTTCCAAAAAGAAAGTCCTTATCATAATGGGCCACTCATATGTAAAGCTAAAGTCACCTCATCAAATCAAAATCTTCCATCCTCTTATATCACATAATTATATAATAATATACATAAAGATATTACTCGACTGTGATTGGTTGATTTCAGTGCAGTTAATTCCGAACAGCAGTGCAATTTTCTGTAAATTATTAATAAGTAATAGCATGGTTTCTTGTGAAATTTGGATAAACATGCACTCGTGAGGTTTTCAAGGACCTGAAATAGCACTCGTCCATCGGTATCCTGCTATATTGAGGTCTTTGAAAAACTCGTGCATGTTATATCCAAATTGCACTCGAAACCATGCTATTACCTATGCGAACAAGAACTTGTGTAGCCAATCAGATACCTCAATAACCTGGCTTTCGCCAGAGCCCATCATCGCACAATCAGATTGGGTCCTTAAGGTAACAACTTAGTTTTGAGATCCAGGACATGTTTACATTTCACCTCCTTGTCTTGACACGTTTATGCGTGAAAAATAAGTTGCTGTATTCAATTCTGGTCATCCTGTTCATGTACAAGTTGGTACCAATGTCCTTTCACGTTCATTTCATTTCCCTTGAAAGCGTCTGTGCTTATTTCTTCGAGGAAGCATAGTAATGTGTTTTTGGAGGAAAACAAAACGGATAATAAAATTAGGTAGACACGTTTCTGACTGATTATGATTTATTAAACAAGCTTTTCACCACCTTACTGTTGTCTTAGCAGGTGCAAAAGAGCTGAACTATGGTAATATGTTAAAAAGAGTATGTTAATAAAGCTATAAGTCTAGGTGAATAAGAAGTAATTAACGATTGCATTGTTTGCCGACAAGATAAACGTATTTTTTCAGAAGCAGCTTAAAATTATTGCCTGAATTTTCAACTAAGACAGTATGCGAGATTGTTTTTCGTGTTCTAAAGTTGGCGGTGTCGATAATTACTTTTGAAAAGAGGAAAATTATTAACACTGGAAACTTTAGAACAAGAAAAAAATCGAATACTTGCATACCGCCCAGATTGAGATAATAATTCTATAATAATTCTAATCTTGTTCGCAAACAAAGCAATCAATAATTACTTGCTATTTACGTAGTCTCTTAGCTCTATTAACATACTTTTTTTTAAATAAATACATAATTTCACTTATTTTGTCTATTTTTATCTGGTCCAAAGCTCGTTTAATTAATATTATTATATGCCAAACACCATTTCCGCTGAAATGGCGGACAGAGATTGGCTAAAAAGCACTTTCAATGATTCATTATTTTGCTTTTTGTGACTTTGATTTAATGTAAAATTGCAACGCTTCGTAAAATGTTTTGAAATGTTCATTTAAGACAACTAAACTACATTTGCCGATAAACAGTTTTCACTCAATGAAACATAATACAGTAAGTTTAATACAAATAAAACAATTTTTTAGGTAATTTTTTGTTCAGTCTTCAAATCAATTTGTTCTCCTTTACATTTTAAGATTTTTTTCTCAAATTAAACGGTAATTTATGATTTTACGAAACTTAGAGCTTCATTAAAAAGGAAAACAGTTCATGTTTCTTAGGCAAAAAGTAAAAGCAACAGTACAAAATTCGTAAACGTTATTAAATATTAGAAGCAAACTTGCCGTATATTTCACGACTTCCCATAATAAATCAATTCTTCTCATTTCTTCAAACAAAATTGCTTCAAGCTTGTTGTATACGAAACGATTTTCCAAATATATGTCTTTTAAAATTGAAATCTTGCTTATTGGGCTCCTACAAGCAATCAGCCATATTTTTGAGATCAGTGAGGATGACCAGCCACACAACATCGTTGGTGACCGACGCGCGCGATAATTGATGAAATTTAGACTTCGCTAATGCTTTCGTTTCCCCGGGGGTAAATAGCGGGATAAGTACCCGCCCCGGGCTTACGCCCGGGACGGCGCAGCGCCGTTGGCTCGGGGATTATCGTGATTTGTTACATGTTCCAAATTATCGATGCATGAACCTTGAGTCAAACAATAGCGGGATTTTGTAATCATGAATAATACTGTATTGCCAGAAAATATGATACACATTCGATATTTTCAAGAGCGCAACGTCACCAGCGATGCAATTTATTGCAAGTATAATAGAGCGACTAAATTTGACTAAAATTGCACTGACACCAAGTTTAATCAATGTATTAAGTACTGTACATGTTTAATAAACGACCAGCAGTGTTTTGTACTATTTTTACGCGTAGGAGTGTTTTATCATATCTAAAACGCGAGGCGCATCACGACTACAAAAGAATACTAATTAGGATGAACTATTATATAATCATACTAATTAGGATGAGTTTCATCAGATATAAATTTACTCCACGTGACATGTTATGGCAGACATGATTTGCCACAAGGTTTATGAATTATTAATAAGTGATTGAAATTAGGTTTAAAGCCAGGAACGCGCAGCGCGAGTGGCTTTAGACCTAATAAAACACGACTTGCGAATTTATTAAACGGCTTCAAACACGACTAACAATTCAATATATATACTGGTTTATTAATATTCTTTATATAAAGCATACTAATGAGGACATGACTACAATAGATACTGCCTTATTAGTATTCTTTATATAAAGAATACTAATTAGGAGTGTTTTATCAGGTTTAAAGCCACTGCACGTGACATATTATGGTTGACATGATTTGCCAATGAGCTTATAAATTATAAATTATTAATGAGTGTATGAAGTGGAGGTGTGGGAAGAATTAGGGTGTGGAGGATTATGTTATTTATCACTCCCCACATGTATGTATTAGTATAGGTAATCATGCGATGGCGAGTACAATTAGGGATTAATAGTACGTGTCATGTTTGGAAATTTTGCCAAAATTAGACGGTCCGCCGGGGAGAGTCCAATTTGGCAAATTTCCAAACATCACGAGTACTATTAATCCCTAATTGTACGAGCAACATCGCATCATTACTTGTTTACGTACTTGTCAATGTCAACATCGTATTCCATCGCCAAAGCCCAGTCCTGCGAGACTTTCAACCAAAATTTGCTGCTTTTCTTTGTATTTTCATTTAATTATTTTCTTTAAACAAAATTTGGTGCTTTTGTTCGTACTTTTATCTGGTTCCTCGACTGCAATTTCATTTCACGCTTGTGTTTAAAATACCTTTCCGCCATTTTGTTTGCTTTGGGAAAATCATTAATTGTACTGCAGTACAATTAATGAAATAATTGTACTCCTCTCAACCAATCAGGATCCAGTAATTTTGTCATACTAATAATAATCGTCATAAAACAACATTGGGCAAGTTGGGAGAAAGAGACGCGCTTCTTTCCACGCACCTCTCGAAATAATCTTCTGTAACCAGTGTCTTAGTCCTCAAAGAAGTTTTTCCAGACTATTCAAGATATCGTGAAAAGTTATTAGATCTTCCTCCCACCTCTTTCGAAACTTGAACCTTTAACTTAAATGTTCCCTGCCTTGTTGTTGAAGAGGATACGAGTTTTCCAATCGTTTTGAGGAAATGACGCACAAAAAATGTGGCAGAATTTTATATACAAAGACGCTTAGCACGTTGTGGTTATGTGATAGCACGAGGTGACCATTCTAGTAGCTCTGCTTGATGACTGTCACGTCTAAACTTGCCCAATCTTGTTTTATAATATTATTGCGTACATAATGAGTGACGTCATACATGCATAATGCACCACACCTTTCCTTCTTCTCTTTCTTCCACCCTTTTTCCCACCTCATACCTTTCTGCTCACCTTATGAATTTTAATTAACTGACTCTACCTCCACCTCCTCCTCTCTGCATATACACTGTGCAGCAACCCTCTGCCACGACATTTTACGCTTATAATGACGAGCCACCTCATTTGTCGCTTCAAGAAATTGACTCAATGGGACCCTATATTAGTGCTTACATCCCCTGACAAATACTATTCCAGAGTAGCGATGTGATTGCATATTACTGAGTATTTCAAAACTACGTTTTGGTTCTTAGCCATTAAACCTGTACTTTGTTCGTAATTTAGAAAATGGTATTTGACTGACCGACTTTAGATCCATAGTGGGATATGCCTTTAAAGGACAGTATGTTTTATTTCAACACATAAATAATTATTGCTTCCTTTCCTTTCAACACAGGTGCTCCTACAGAGTTAGTACAAGGTAAGATTACATTTAACATGTCCAAAGAATTTTCGACAATTCCAAACTCGTGATATTCCGCACCTTTTCACGAAATTAACAAAAAGCCGCAGGCTCATGTTTTTAAAAAGAAATTAGCTCTTTATGGCAAACACGATTGGAATGTCTGCACAAGCATCCTTTTTCTATTAAGTCAAGATTCCACAATACAAGAAATTCGCCAATAGTCATTCGAGAAATTCGCCAAAATTCAGACACCCCTATATCTGGATACAAAATATACACTGCTGTCTGAAATTCAGACACCACTATATCTGTGTGCAAGATATAGGAGCGACTGAAAGCCAGAGACCCGTAGATCCTGTATCTCAGCATAGGGGTGTCTGAATTTCAGGCACCCCTATATCTGGATACAAAATATACTGGTATTTGAATCTTTCATCTTATATCACAGAATCTTTATACCTTATATCTGGATGAAAAATATAAGGGTATTGTAAATTCAGACACCCATATATCTGAATTCAATATATAGGGGTGTCCGAAATTCAGAGATCTGTATATCTTGTCTCCCAACATAGGGGTGCCTGAATTAAAGACACCCATATATCACGAGGATACAAAATATACTAGTTTCTGAAATTCTACTTTTAATGACCGCTGGGAAATTATACTATCGAATACCTTCCTTGCTCTATTAGACACAAGCATAGAATACCATGAACATAGCATGTAAGACACACAGTACAAGCTACAACACCGTACGTACAAACTTACGAAAGCAGACACATTATACGTAAAATACACACAACTATCCTTATTCGCACTCAATAGATCTACCAAACGACTCAAACGGCTAGAAAAACACATCCATCAAAAAAGTACAAACAGTAAACAGAAAGTCTTAGGTCACCCAAACTAATACTAAAAATAAGTAAATTGAAACACATAACAAAAAACTAACACCATCCGATAATTCACAAGTAAGCACAGTGGCGTAGCTGGCTAAAAAAATCGTCCCGCCGAAGGCGGACCCCTCGCACCGAAGGTGCGACCTTTCTAGAGGGGTTCGGGGGCATGCCCCCCCGAGAAAATTTGAAATCTAGAACCTCGGAAATGGCATTTCCTGCTATTTCGACGGTGGAAGTATGTCACTAAACAAAGTTTCCATACACCCCTAACAGGAGTATTTTCCCTTTATATTGCCCTCTGCACTGAGTCTGCAGCACAACGAATAATTTTAATTATTAAAATTGATTAAAATCACTACACCTCGTATGTCTCAAGCACCGCGTATGATGTTGAAACCACAGCAAGTAGTTACAGCACTGCGTATAATGATAAAACCACTGCGTACAATGCTGAAGGTACCGCGTATAACGTTATACCGACCGCGTATGTCTCAAGCACCGCGTATGTTAAAAGCACCTCGTATAATGTTGCGTGTAACCCATATATAATGTCAGAATCATCGCGTATAATGCTCGAACTCGAAGCACCGCGACGACCGCGTATAATGTAAAGAGCCCCTCGTATAACGATAAAATCACCACATATATAATGCTAAAAGCACCGAATGAAATGAAATTCCGCTATCACTTTCTATAAGGTTCGTCACGCTGGTTGAAGCCATTGCATACAAATCACAAAAGCAATATCAAATATGATATGAATAGTAATATGATGACCTACCACCGTCACAGTCGTGAATACTCGCGCAGAAGCTTCGTCAGAAAGGTTTGAATATTAACAACCTCCGCCTTCATAAAATAGCGGGACTTCGGCATTAAAAACAACCGTTCTGGGCATGCGCTGCGCCAATTATCCAACCAGAAACCAGAATTTCTTGTATAAGATAGTATTGCATATTCCGCCACATGAAAATCAGCGGAACACGAGTCATGCGATTCACGAATTGCGTGAGTAAGCAATAAATTGCGTGGAAATTAGCTAATTCTGCAGGGTATCAGTTACTAGACAACAAAGAGGTCAAAGAGCAGACAGCAATATTGCGTAAACTTTAAATAAATGACAAATGAAAGCACTGAAAAATGATCATAATTAATATTTAAATTTTCAGAATAAGCAAAGCTGTGATTTTGGGTTCACTATAAAACATTTACTCGTTTTTTTGGAAATTGTTAGTCCCGCCCGGCGGGACAGCGGGACCGCTAGCTACGCCACTGAGTAAGCATTGCATAACAACCACAAAAACAATCTCGTTCCCCGAGCCTGCGATCCCCGGGAAGGAACGCGAGGCCTTGGGATAATCCGTTTCAGGGAGGAACCTGATTGGCCATTGAAATGGAATTCGTAGTTCAATTTTAGCCAGGATTCCTGGCTTCCGGCAACGGATTATCCCAGAGCCTCGTGTTCCTTCCCGAAGATCGCAGGCTCGGAGAACGAGATTGCCACAAAAACAAGGCTTAACCATACACACACACCACCTAGCAAGTACACCTAGCACACTCCAAGAAGTGCACATACCTCATACCAATACATCAAATACACAACAAACTACTTTCTACAGCCACATATATACAAACCCATAGGCATATACACATACACCACCTTGCAAACAGCCCGGTGCAAAGTAACACTAGTACTACAACCAATTACACCACGCCACAACACTCTTATAACTATAATGCATACAGAAATAATGGAATTCGACCGCATCCACCAACACACATTCCTACAACGTTTCTCATGCAAATTCAAACAACCTGTTCTACAACTCAACCCCCGGTAAAACCTACCCCTGCGAAACGTCCTCAAATACCAAAACTACGAGTACCACGACGCTCACGGCACCTTACAACACACAACAATCAAATTCCAGTATTTTTCAACAACAACACAGAAGTTGACAGAAACACACACACCTACTAACATTCGCCACTGGCAGCATATCTTCCCAGAACGCACAAACAGATAATTAATATCCCACACAATTAACAAGACCCAAGCGTACAATCACAGATAGATCTTTTTCCACATCCAACACAAATATGAATACTAATAAATACAAAAAAACGCTGTGCTCAAATTGATAAAATCACGACGCAACACCAAATATAACAGACACTTTGTAAAAACAAATTACACAAAAAGATATACAACAACCTACAATATAGAACTGTTATCAACCTATCACATAAAAACATTTCGAAATCCGCACTAACAACTCTATTCAAACGCTCTTACATCCCTTCCCCCAAACCGGCACAATACAAGCAACTTTCTAACTCTTTCTTTTAAAATTAAAATACAGAAAAAAACATGCACAACAGGTACTTCTTCAGACACAAAACAAACACATACAGACACAGGGGTCCAACTAAGAGCTGTGTTATGAATATGAATAAAACATTAATTAAACGTAATATGAATAAAACATCATAACGTAATAAATTTAAAGTATTGCACTTACTTGTATAAATCATAAGTGCTTGTATTTCCAGTGAATAGCCTCAAACAGGGCGCTTATATATGTTCAGAAACATTGCTTCGACAGATTGTTCAAATATGGCAAATAAATTGACAAAACGAAAATATTACATGACGTTCCATCGAAAATAACAGCAGAGATTGCGGGCGCGTGAGCGAAAAGGGGAGGGAAGAATTAAATAAAAGGGATGAAAAAAATATCACGTGACTTTTTAAAATGCTTCTAGACTATCCGTTTAAGCTTTTTGTGGGTTTTTTAAGGCTCAGTCGATGTTCTCTTACATGAACAAGCCTAGTCATTACCAAAAAAGCGCTGATCAATCTATGTGATTTATAACAGCGAGCATTCTTGGCCATTTTTGCGTTGAATAGAAATAAAGGTTTTAGGTTAATAACACCATGATCTACATAATGTGTTTGTGGTTACTGTAACTTCAAAAGTTGCAGTTTTGAAATGCAATGGGAAATCAAACGCTTTGCTGTAGACTTAAATAAGAGTCACTCTGTGTTATTGTTTATAATTTAAATTATTGTACTGTCTATTTTCTTCATATTTATAGTCGATAAAGAAAGCGTTAAGGAAGTGACATACTTGATCAGTACTGTGCTTATTTTCTTGGTATCGTGCGTCACATTCTCCATCGTGTTCACAATGCTCTCAATTTCAGAGTAAGTAAAAGTCTATATTACAATGCTTTGAATTTAACAGAGAACATTGAATGTTCTCGATTAAAATTCCCGGGATAGTACGTGTGTGGTTTAGTTGGCTGTCATCACACTCCAGTGTAGTGCACATGGAGGGATCATTTAATTTAAACAAAATAATCTCATAGGATCTCAATATTTAACGCCATATGCAATTTGTAAAGTAACGTATAGAATTCCTTGAAACCAGTCTAAATGTATATAAAAGATTACGATTTAAAAACTCATTAATTTGTTTCATGCCGATTACGAACACTTTTTGTAATTGGTTTTCAGAAACAATTAACTACAATAGTTAACACGTACATGCACAACATTACTCGCACAAGAGCAATATGTATACGTCAGAGAAAATACAAAATCTCATCCACGTTAAAAGTGTCTCAAAACGACGCGTGTTCTATAAAACTCACTTGTATATATTCTGGCCAAAAGGACAATGCTATTTAATGAATGATTCTCAGAATTGTGACATAACAATTTGCATAGGAAACCAGGACCGTGCGGATAGGCCCAGCTTCAAACTTCCAATATCTGAGAAGAAATCTGAACAATAATCAATTACTTAACAGCGGCGTGAATTTATCCAAATGAGATACAAATGGAGTGAGGGTACTAATTCCGCCCGGGGAAAAAGAAGCATAAGCGAAGTCTAAAGTTTATCAATGATCGTGGGCGTGGGTCACCAACCGTGGGTGGTCATCCTCACTGATCTCAAAAATATGGCTGTTTCCAGGAGTGAGATAAACAAGATTTCAATTTTCAAAAGCATATTTTTGGAAAAACACGTTTCACACAATGAGCGTTGAAGCAATTTTTGTCTGAAGAAATGCGAAAATTTGATTTACTGTGGAAAATCGTGGAATATAGGGCAAGTTTGCTTTGAATGTTTAACGTTTATGAATTTTAATTGCTTTTCTGAAACTCTCACTTCTATTCATATTAAATAATTTTGTGTTTTTAATTTAAATCAAGGATCACACAAGAGGATTTTGATAATATTTCCATTTTAGCTACGTTTCGGATAGTTTACTATCCGTCCTCAAGCTAACAAACTGTTCTTAAATTTGACGTGCACAACTTTTAAACGTTCATTTTACGCAAGCTAATTTAAATTAAACTGCGTACGTGCGCGCACGCGCGCGCTCGTTTTCCTTACTAAAGTATTTGTTTAATATTGGTTTCCAAGTCATCAATGTTTCAAACTGTTTAAAACTTTCTTTTTGTTTTGTCTTACTCTAAGAAACTCGATTCCTTCTATAACTTTCCGCTGTCTTAATCTATATTCATGTCTCAATATTCGCGTGTTCTCCCAGTCTATATCTTCCCTACACTCTATACTGTGCCTTGCTAAACCTCCGTCTTCTTTCCCCATTCGTTCTTCTGCCACCGCCACCCGTTCATTTCTCATATCCTCGTTTGTTAATCTTACTTTGTTCTCGTGTTCCTTCTTTTTCACCTTAAACAACCTCGATGTTTCTTCTACATACACCGCTTTCTTGCACTTGCATGGGATCTCGTAGACAACAGATTTTTGTTTTTCGCCAAGCGGTTCTTGAGCCCTCGCCTTCAATTCCTTTATTTTATTAACTTTGTTCACCACTTTCACTTTCGAATCTGTCTACAGCTACCATTATCCGTCCTTTATCTACTGGTAAGAATACTTTTCTTTTATCTTGTAAATCCTTCTTTTTCCGTCTAACTCTTTTTTCGTGAAATTCGTTTTGGAAATAAGACGGTTTTACAAGATAAAAGAAAAGTATTCTTACCGGCAGATAAAGGACGGATAATGGTAGGTATGGACAGATTTCAAGGTGGAGGTCACCATGCAGAACGGTTAAAACCAAAGGGTTGTCATGCCCCCAGGTTATCAGGATTGCCAAAAATCCACAAAGATAGTGTTCCATTGAGAGGTGTGGTCTCAACGGTAGGATCGCCTTTGAAAAACTGTCAAGATTTGTCATTTCAATTCTGAGAACAATTCAGGGAAGAAGTGGATTTTATCTATAAAATTCGCGAGAATTGAAAGAAAAAGTTAAGAACTGGCGTGTGGAGAGAAACGAGATTCTTGTGAGTTATGATGTGAAGAATTTATATCCATCGATCCCAATAGATGAGGCATTAAAATTGATTGAAAAGTTGTTAAGGGAAAGTAAAACCTTAGTAAATATAACTGACTTAACCGTACAGTCGGTAATGGAAATATTGGAATGAATGTTTGGCTTGTCTTATTGTGAGTTTGGCGGCAAGCATTACGTATTAGAAAGTGGAGCAATTGGTCTTGGAGTAACTGGTGAGGTCGCCATAATCTATATGGAAGAGTTTCAAATTCGTACAATGCAAACATCTCCATATCCCCTCGATCAATGATATTGGTATGTAGACGACAGTGAAATGAAGTGCAAGGAACATCAATCCGAAGAAATCCTCGAACACCTGAATAGCATTAAACCAGACTCCATTGTATTCACGAAAGAAAATCAAGTAGAAGAAGCGTTGCCAGTACTAGACTTGAAACAAAAAGTGGACAGGAAAACGAAACAAGTCGAGTGTATGGTTCATTATAAGAAGACACATACCAACATCAATGTTAAAGCGAAATCAAATCATCCTCCTTGTATGAAAAAAGGCATCATCAAAGGATTTGCAGACAGAGCGCGAGCGTTATGTGATAAGAAACGCCACGAAGAAGAACTAAAGAACGTAGAAGATGTGTTTGTGGCAAATGGTTTCGAAAGACAAAAGGTTCGAGAATACATGCAAGAAGATAAACGCGAAAGGAATGAGTCGGGAGAACAAGGATATCGAGGAATGATAACAGTACCTTACATCCAGGGCTTACAAGAACAAGTCAAAAGATTAGCTTCCAAACATTCATTTCGGACGACATTTAAACCAGGGAATAAAATAAGGTAATTCAAGGCGAGGGCTCAAGATGCGCTTGGCGAAAAACAAAAATCTGTTGTCTACGAGATCCCATGCAAGTACAAGAAAGCTGTGTATGTAGGAGAAACGTCGAGGCTGTTTAAGATGAGAAAGAAGGAACACGAGAGCAAAGTAAGCAGGTGCCGCCGAGAAGGGGGGCAGGGGGGGGGCAAATTTCCATTTAATGTTAGAAATTTAATGGGCCCCAGTCATTTTTTCGGGCGAAATATTTCTGTTTTCGGGCCAAAATATTCGTGTTTTGGGGACAATGAACTGAAATTTGGTATGGAAAATTGCGGAAAAGTCCAACGAAAGCAATTATAACGCACCTAAAAAGAAATTATTGTCCGAAAAATTTTTTTCCCGAAATTTTTTTTGCAATAGGGGCGCCTATAAAATTTTTTGCCCCGGGCCCCCGCCAAGCTCTCGGCGGCCCTGAAAGTAAGATTAACAAACGAGGATATGAGAAATGGACTGGTGGCGGTGGCAGAAGAACGAATGGGGAAAGAAGACGGAGGTTTAGCAAGGCACAGTATAGACTGTAGGGAAGATATATAGACTGGGAGAACACGCGACTATTTAGACATGAATATAAAAATTAAGACAGTGGAAAGTTACTGAAAGAATCGAGTTTCTTAGAGTAAGACATAGCAAAAAGAAAGTTTTAAACAGTTTTGAATCACTGATGACTTGGAGACCAATATTAAACAAATACTTTAGTAAGGAAAACGAACGCGCGCGTGCGCACGCATGCAGTTTAATTTAAATTAGCTTGCGTAAAATGAACGTTTAAAAGTTGTGCACGTCAAATTTAAGAACAATTTGTTAGCCTGAGGACGGATCGTAAACTATCCGAAACTTAGCTAAAATAAAAATATTATCAAAAACCTCTTGTGTGATCCTTGATTTAAATTAAAAACACAAAATTATTTATGAATTTTGTTGCTTTAATTTTATATTGCGGAAAACATAATGAAGCTGTATTAAAGATTGCTAAATTACCCTGTTTTATTTAAGAAAAAAAGGTAAAATGTAAAGGAGAGCAAATTAAGTTGAACACAAACTTTTTGTAAAGTAAAAACAGTTTCTGGGAAAAAGCAGTTTATAGGTTAATTAATATTAAAATGAACATTTCAAAACATTTTACGGAGCCTGCGTTCACTGTTGATCAATTACTAATACTTCATGTTAAATCAATGTTTGGAAAATACATGCGAGGGGTTGCTGCATTCATGTATTTCTAGTATTGGTATATAACTACGCTTTGTGGTGGCACAGTCGTCAGAGCAAGGGGTTAGGATAAAACGACGATACGGCATTACCAGAAATATGGGACATTTTGCTCCCGCTTTTGTAGTCAGCGGCTAAGTCCGTTTTATATGCCCAACATTGCCTAATATAAATCATACGACTTCGCATTTTACTTTGAATCTCCAGTTCAAGTATTATTCAACCAAAAACTGTGATTTTAAACTATATTTTGCAGTTTTTGCTGATCACTTCCGGTACTTTGACCTTTAACCCCGCAAATTTTTATCAAGACTAAAAATATTGCAAATATCCTAAAAAATCCTAAAATATCCCTGTGTTTTTACGTGAGAGCCTGGGATCTAGTCCTTCAAAATAAACAAGAAACATGGCTGCTCGAAACAGCTCAAATTTGTATTAAAACTTGTCGTTTTTAGTGTGAAGTTTCTTCGAAACTTCACAGTATTGTGATGGTGGGGAAAATTCAAACGAAACAGTCAGTCAGTCAGTCATACAGTAAACTTTCCGGGGGGCGTGTACGATTTATGTTCGTAGTGATTTATTGTGCTTAGTCAGTACTTTGAAGGTTATTTAGGTAATTTCAGTTAACTTATTTACATATTTTGTTATCCTTTTACCAACTTCACAAAAATTTCGAGCAATCACTTTCGTTATTGTAATTCTTTGTAAATTTTAGAACATTCGCTTCTCATGTATTGTAAAGGATCTTTACCCCGGAACACCCGATTTTTCTTTAGTAGCGCAAATGCGCATGCGCTATCAAGCCGTAGATCACGATGGCGTGACGATATGCTAGGAAGGAGTGACAGTGTTCAGATGTATAAACATTTCAGACGTGAATATTGAGTAAATCTTTGAAAATCTACGCAATATATAAATTGATCTTATGCATTACGCCGGCCGTTCAATTAATAAGTGTTGATAATATTTAGGCGGTATATTCATTATACAGAGCTAGGAAGGAGCTAGACCGCCTAGACAGTGGCAGTGCATTTAAGACTCAAGTGTATAAACATTTCAGACGTAAATATTGAGCCGAAAATCTTTGAGATTCTAGGCATTCAATTGAGTGCTGATATTATTTTCACGGTATACCCATTATACAGGGGTACAGTATGAACGAAGAAGCGAGACAGTGTTGTTTTTCAAATATATAAACATTTCAGACATGAATATTGAGAAAATCTTTGAGATTCTACGCAATAATATGATATATAAATTGATGAATATGGTTACCGGCGTTCAATTAAGTGCCCATCGATAGACGATATTATTTAGACCGTGTATTCATTATACATTGTTATTTGACTGTATAAGGTGCCACATCACAGAATAGTACACTCAGGCAAAGAGCGAAAAATTGCATCAAATCAATAAAGCATCAACAACTATTAAACAGAAGCGAGCGTACAGGCGTTTATTGCGAGACGAAGGAAATTAGTTGAGTCAGAGCTCCTTATTTTAATAAGAAAGACGAGGAGATAGCCAATACGTTATCGCCAACGGGTTATCGCCAATCGCTTGGCTCACCAAGAAGCTTTATGCAATGGAAGAAAAAAGCAAGGAGGTACATGTAGCCAACGTGTACTGTCGCGGACCTTGTTTACTGTCTAGCACAACGCCGTTGTCAACGGTGCAAATTCGTGTTCAGTGCAACGTTAACTCTACCAGATCTTACGAGAATTAATCTGTAGTATTCTGTACACAGAACTGTATCAAAGCTTGTCAAAACTGCTTTAAACACTGCTATAACTGTGAAACTATTGAAATCTAAAGTGACATTATTCAAAACATGCGAAAAGTTAAAAATAGACACAACGTGACACTGGGAAAAGTCAAAGGTCAATGCGGACTTGTTATTGTAAAAATGTCACAATTAGGTTAAAATGCGGAAGCGGATGGAGCGGACCACAGAACGGAAATGCGAAAAAAATACGGGACGGATGAAGATAAAATGCTTCCTTTCAATGATGTAACGACGTAGTGCTTATTATTTATAACATATCGTATGCATCTATTTCAATTATAAGTTTGCAGTGGCCTTGTGCGGATGCTTTTATTAGCGACAGCTGCAATTGAAATTTCGAATTGTCGCGTGTAGCATCACAATAAATAGATAAATTGTATCAGTTTCACAAAGCACGTTTCTGATGTGTTAGGCTTGTTTCAAACGTCACGCTACTCGTGTGTCGAGCGCATTAAAAGTAATATATAATGAGATGAAATGCCGTTGGTGATTGTTTATTTCGTAGTGTAAGACATCAGCTTTTCTAGGTTGTCAGCGACCCTATATAGTTCTTGCAGAATCTTTTTCAATTTGAAACTTCACACTATCCTTGGATCCCTAGTTGGATATTAAGATGGCTTAATGGCGACATACAAGAACCGTAAAAAGGCGAACTTTTACACGTTTCGGGAACTAGTTTCCCTGGCAATTACAGCGGATTTATTTAGCTAAATTAACAGTTTGGACATCATTAAATATATCGCGAGCTCCGCACTTCGCATCGTCCGAATGGATGTTGGTCTATTCGTCGGATATTTACCTCTTGTGTCACAAGTTTACTATAAATTACACTATGAAATTCATCGAATTGCGTGTAAAAATACAACATTCTCAGGAACCTGCTAGACGCGATGCAATACTAGCGATTTTTGTTTAGAAATATTGCTTGTTCGTGTCGCTACTATAATCGAGCTCCGCACCAATAAAATATTTAAACAAAGTATACTAAAATTTGATATTTTGATCAACTCCCATATAGTTTATAGTAATATTTGGTCGCCATATTTGGTCAAAGTGCGCATGTCCGTCGCCATCTTGTCCCATATTTCTGGTAATGGACGGATGGATGGCTTATATTCTCGTTAAATGTAATTTAAGAGTCGTATCCTTGTTTTGTCAGTATGATATTACTTTCTTAACTATATGCTTATCCTAACCCACTCTTCCAATTTGCCCTGTGGGAGAAAACTGGAGCGCCCGGAAAAAATCGGCAGAGCGTTGACAGACTCATTTCACATGAGTCCGTAGGGAGAATCGAACCCAAGATCTCAGACGCGATAGGCACTTGGTCTGAGGGTAACGAAGAAGCGCGGCTACTGAAGGACGGATGGACAAACGGACTGATGGCTTATATATTCACGCTATATGTCATTTAGCCGTCATATCCGCGTTTTATCCAAAAGGATAAAATGCTGATATGGTTCAGAAAACATTTTTCAGCCCTTTGTAAGTCATATCCGCGGATATGACTTATAAAGGGCTGAAAAAGTTGTCTAAACCATATCCGCGTTTTATCCTGTTGCCGATTGTTGTAGAGATAAATAGTCTAGGCTAAGTAAGTAACATAAGTAAGCGGTCGTTGAAATACCTCAATGGGGAGTGAGCTGAACAATAATGTAAAATGATGTAATGTAATATAACGCTGTAACAAATGGCATTGATAACTCGGATGTAAAATTGTGACCAAATTTGGTATTAAAATGTTTACGTGATAGTCATGTAAACTTAGTGTCATGTTATTTTAGTATGAGATCAAACTATGAATCATGTATATGAGTAAATTGTTAAACACGTCCGCATGTTGAATCCTAAACTTAATCTATATCCCCGAATCTAACCAATAATTAATTTTAATCTAAGTCTAATCGAAATTTCCCTCGACTCCTGACCTAACTCCATTGTAAGGCCATTACCTTAATACACAAATGTCTTGTCTAACGCATGTTGTTTTGTGTGTAGCCGTGATAAGTTCAGACGTATTTGACAATTTACAACATAGTAAATTGAAAGTTTGAGCACGCGTAGATTATTCTGATACTGCAGAGCCAGGGCCGGAGCTACGGGGGGGGGGGAGTGTGACACCCCCAGAAATTCTATTCCAAACTTCAGTCGGCAGGACTGCTATTTCAGTCGGCAGACAAAAATATTTTGACGAATATAACTGGTACCGATATGATTTTCACATGTTAAATTTTCACCTGTTATATAAGAAACCGAAATTTTGGTTACTCAAAATTTACTCAGCAGGATAATCATTATAATCGGAGCGCGGTTAGTAAAACAAGCCCAGATTGACAGTTAAACCACATAGCGATACAAAGTATATGTAGCAAGTTTGATAGGTAGAACCGCTGAACACAATATATTGCTGCCAAAAACTCAATTATCAGATATGGCGATCTAGAACAGGCTTTATTTAGAGCACAATGGGCGTAACTTCAGGGATCGCGGAGCAGAGGGGTGGGGGGCAACAAATTCCGTACATATGTAATTTTTATAAACTAAGAATGCTGAAATCTTTCAGATAAGTTAACAATATATTTATAACTTATTAGTACTTATTAGTGTAAGTATTCAATCTAATTCTCATTGGATTAAACAAATGACGGGTAATGTTAGATTAAGGTCCCAGTTACACGATACCGGATTCGTATCGGAGCGACATCAAGTTAAGGTGTTTTCCAGTCTTGTCTGTTATTACAACTTTTCATATATGAAGGTTTTGTTTAATTATGTTGTATTATCAGAATTTCAAGTGCCAAATTCACCTCGAGTAAAATTTAATGTCGCTCGATGCGAATCCGGTATCGTGTAACTGGGGCCTAGGAGTCGTCTATTAAGAAACTTTTTAACAGCAACTAGTAAATTTGATTGCATTTCCGCGGCTCTGGGAGGTCTCAGATTTCAACATTTCCCGGGGGAGCCTTTCCCCGGACCCCCTGACAAACTCACTCCTTCGACGTTCGCTATAGCCCCCTTAATTCAAAAATGGCTCCGTAGTTAACCTCCATCGGAAATTCCACAAGCTTACATGGCTGGCAGGTGGTCGGTGCAAGCTCGTTCGTCAGTCGGTTGAAATGATCTTACACCCCCCCCCTGAAAAATTGCCTGGGGACGGCCCTGTGCAGAGCACAACGAAAAATTTGTTGTGTCGAGCGAAATAAATTGAGCTCGAATTTTCGGTTTCCAGAGCGTTGCAATGTTTTTGCGACAACTTAACGCTTGTCTTGAACGACGCGCAGTGTTTTGAATTCTAATTCAGGACCATCCTCGAAGATTTAAAAAAATAGTTTGATATTATTCTGTCACATGTAGAGTAAAACGAAAAATTCGTTATCTCGAGTGGGATTCGAGCTCCTATCCTCGCGTTTCTTGACCGCGCCTCAACCCATTGAGCTTTAAAGTGTGAAATTATAGAATCAATGGCGTAACGGAACCTTTGTGGGAGGCGGGGCCTTTATTTTTTTCCGAATAAAGTTGACGAGCGGCAGTGGTGGTGGGGGAAAGAGGGAGGAAAAAATTTCCCCGAACCATATTCATTGAAAAATCAAGTTCAAGTCACAAAAATTTTCTCCCATCCATGTCTACTAAAAAGAGGGGTCCAAATTTCGCAATTTCAATATATTTCTGCTTTTGGTCGTCATCTGTTGCAATTTTTCGAACCCTTTATAACCGAGGCTCGGGTAAATTTGCCCCAATGTACCAGCTATTATGGTCATTTTGGCCTTTTTCTGGTGGCGGTGCAGGCGTAGCCCCCCCCCCCCTCCCCACGAGTTTGGACACCCCAGTCACGCTACTTAATAAAACTGAAACACTGTGCATCCTCCAAGACAAGCTTTAGTTAGTAGTCGCATTTAGACCGGTTAAGACTCACTACCAATCCCTGTTTAAGATATGTATTTTCTGATAAATATACCTGATTGTTCTTTCCTAGCATTTGCTTTTTCATGCATGTTTTTTTCCTAGCATTTGCTTCTTGTTCTTTCCTAGTAGCACTTGATTTTTCCTAGCAGTTGCTCTCGCTGCCCTCCTGTCTTGTGCACCCATGCAGGCGATGAAGTAATTTGAAACTAGTTTTTCATATTTCTGAGGTTCTAAATAAATTGTCTGAACCTGTCGTTATTTTAGGATCATACAAAAAAAAAGACATGCTGGGTTATCCAAAAGAGTTGAACGCATTCAACTACATGGCCAAACATATCCCGATCCAATCACAGCACCAAGTTATCGAGGAAGTGCATCGTTGTCCAAATACTACGACTATTAATTTACTACGACTATTAATCTATTAATTCACAAAAGCAACAATAATGTACCGAAAATATAAATTTAATTGCACTTGAATCATTTTGTTCCATAACAATAGAAAAGAAAGACGGAGATGTGGAAGAGCTTGATAACTACACAAATAATTTTGCACATTAATTATTCGTAATACTGTTACGCGTATTATATAATCGTTTCGTATATATGCCACAATTCTAACATTTTACTTGATATCGGAGTTTGATAACAACAATGTATGACGCATAGTTATGGTGACAAGTAATTATCAGAGCACATGAAAATGTAGAGTAGATTACGAAAATAATAAAGCAGACTTAATTAGTTAAACTAGATCTCAATTAAAGTGGTCGTTTCTCTTTCTAGCTCTTGAAGTTTGGCTCGTGCGCAGGGCGGGATACTGGAGCAAACATTGAAATAACTATTTTTGACACACTTTGTGTCGTAGTAAAAGCAAAATGTGTCTTTGTAAATGGAAAAGTGTGTACTTGAGAATAATGGACAAATAATTATGTCGCATTTGAAATAATTTTCATTCGCATTTTATTTCCCGTAAAATAATTTTTACTTGCAATTTATGAAAAAAATTTTATTTCCATTACAAACATTTTTTATTTGCATTTTATTTCCCATGCATATATGGCTTGGAGTTAGAATAATAATTCAAACACTCATTAATAATTCATAAGCTTATTGGCAAATCATGTCAACCATAATATATCACGTGCAGTGGCTTTAAGACACTCCTAATTAGTATTCTTTATATAGTCCGTGTGTTGTGACCTCGAAAAGTGCCTAAACAACGATTTTTATTAAGCATGTCTTAGACTGGAAATATTTTTACGGGAACTAATACTTTCGAACACGCTGAGTTCAAGTCTGAAAAGTTCCCACTCCGTAGATCCGCAGTTTTCTCACAAACTGCTATTTTATCTTGTTTAATTTCACAGCAAAGTTTTTCATTGTCCAACGACACGGATCGATGATGATACACGATTATGCCACTCAAAAGGACCTATTTTTATTAACCATTCTTTCTCATAACAAAACAACCTTGTACCCAGGGTCTTTCCTCTTGGGGAGCAAAGACTCTGGTAAACGCTGGTCACGTGATCTGCTAAAATCTAGCAGATTTTTAATTAGCAATCCAAGATCAGGTCAATAAACATTTGATATTTGGATTATTTTGATATTCTGATAATTTAAAATTTGCATTTTGTATGATTGTCGTAAAGAAAACCGGGATATTTAATTAGAAATCTGCTAGATTTTAGCAGATCACGTGACCAGCGTACGTCTACCAGAGTCTTTGCTCCCCAAGAGGAAAGACCCTGGGTACGGGGTTGATAACAAAAGACCAGTTTTGCTGGAATATATAATTTTGGATCTATCTCTATAAAATTACAAGGACGCTAATGTTATGCCTTTGGGCTATGTCTCTGGGCTGAGAAATAATTGTTTACACGCGATCAAAATGTTTTATACAACGATGTAAAACGGTAATCTATATGCAATGGATCAGCATTTCTATTTCCAACGCAGTCTCTGAGATGTAATTCAAGACATAACTTATCATTGGATTTGAACTATTACATTAGTTGGTGTTATACTGTGCGATAAACGAATATTATTGGAAGGAGAGCTTCCATATACGTTGAAATCACTCAGGGGCGTAAGAACCGGGGAGCAGGGGAGGCCAGCCCTCCCCCCCAGTTTTTCAAGTGCCTTTTTCCGGGGACAAAGTGTCCTTTTTTTGCTTGAAAAATGTCTTTAAGATTGCATTTTTTTCCTAAATTGCACTTTTGAAAACTTGAATCTATGTTATTTACGGAAAAATTTTTTCATTTCCGGGAAAATATCATATATCCGAAAATTTTTTTGGTATGTCCGGAAAATTTTTTTAGGAAAAAATGTGATATCTCCGGAAAATATTTTGTTATGTCTGGAACATTTTTTTGTGTTCCTCTCCCACCCGTCGCCAAAATTTTCGCGAAAAAATTTTTAGATGGTTCTTTATTCAAAAAGTGCACCTCAAAGCCTTCCCCCCAAACTTTTAGAAGCTTCCTACGCCCCTGAAATCACCAAATAAACAGATAAACAGCTCATTCACCAACCTCGTTCCCAGGCTCTTCCCTCTTGTTGAGGAAAGACCCTGGTCGGGGCTAGTCACGTGGCCCCACAGATTCTGCATGGTAAACTGAATTGACCTCAGGAAGGGGTAGTAGAGGAGTCTGTTTGTTGCGTTGCAATTTTACGTGTTATAGTTTCGGGTGATAAAATGTAATTTGCAACAAGAAATCGTGAAAGGAACAGTTTTAAATTCATAATAATAATAATAATAATAATAATAATAATAATAATAATGGAAACTTTATTGTAATCCTATACATTAAAATACATATAAATTTGATAGTATATATAACCTGATAAAACTAACTCATGTGTTTCTCTCCAATGTAAACATAGGGCAGTCCACAGAGATTACAGGCATCGCTATAGTAGTAGATACTTAGGATTAATAAAACTTTAAGATAGGCGGAGATGTCCATTGTTTGTTACGGCGTACATATATATAAAATGAGGCACGCATAGCTACTTCCATACACTTTTCAATCATTCTCTTATAATTAATGTTTGTATTTTTAAAAACACTGTATAAGTCATCTATATGTTTTGTTACTAGTCCAAGTGTTGTAAATTCAACGAAAATCTTTCTCCAGTGTCGAAACCTTTTCTTGCAATCATTTTGAATATCCCTATATTTGCTGATCTTTAGGTTCCTGCTCTTTTCAGAGTTTGTTGCAAAGCAACACGTCATTTCCAAAATGAAGATTCTGTCATCTTTTATTAGTACAATGTCTGGGCGGAATGAATGGAAGAATTCGTTAGGATTGTCAAAATTGTCTAGATCAGCATAGATTCGAAATCCGTATTTCCTTAGTTGAGATACATAGTGAAGCAAAGTGTAAATAATTGAGTCATGTCGCCATGTGTATCGACCTTCATCTGCCGAAACCGGACAGGCAGAAAGCATGTGAAGTTGTGTTTGTTTGTTTGAGTAGCACAATTCACAAGATGGGTTATCACTTTTCCTCCATCGATATAGATTTGAATTATTTGGCAGAGAATATATCAAGGCTCGTCTCGCAAACACGAATATATTCTTTGGCATTTGGCGGCAGATGTTGTCCCACATTGTTATATGCTTAGGAGATGCTACCTGTCTAGCATGTTTCATGATCGTATTCTGTTCCTTAAGAGTCGAGAGATGTTCCACCACGGTATTTTCGATTTGTTGCTTAAGAGCTGATCGAGGATTGTCGTTGTTATAAATCAAGCAATCAGTTTGCACATTATTGAACTTGGTAAGATTGAACAGGCATCTCATATCATTGTTGATGGATTTAGAAAGAATTTTTCTAATAGACAGCTTACAGTATCTGTAAACATCAGAAGCCAGTTGGAGACCGACACCTAATTTGCTGCTAGCTAACTTCAGATGCGTCATGTTTGCACCTTTATGGAAATGTAGCCAACGCTTGATATAAGAGATGATCTTGTTATCTAAGTGCTGTTCCACCCAAGTTTGTGAAAGCCTGTAGATTGATAAACGCCATCGCAGTTTACTGTAGACGTACTTCGTGATAATCAGAATTTTATTTCTAGGGTGCAAAGGAAGCCTGTTAATTTTCTCTAAATATTCCAAAAGATCATATTCTAGTTCCTGTTCGATTACGACCGTGTCCATTTTATAATTGAATTGCTTTCCTAGATATTGGAATGATTCGTTTATCTCAACCTGAGGAATCATCTGATTATTTACTTTGAGATAAGGCTTAAATGGCGTAGCCTTTTTCCCGTTGTGCTTGATTCCAAATGTAGAGCATTTATTAACTCTAACCTGGAAGCCTGCCCAACGGCACCATTTAGTGAATACGTCGAGGAGAGCTTGGTTATCTTCTTCAGATGTTGTGACTAGTGCAGTGTCGTCTGCAAACTGGAACCAGTGTCTGGGGCGTAGGTATTCACAATATGAATAGCCAATACATTGTACACGTTCATCTTCTATACATTTGATGAGGGTATTAACGCACATATTAAATAAAAGGGGAGAAAGGCAGTCACCTTGAAGAACTCCTTTACCAACTAAAATTGGGTTTGTAATAAAGCTTTCTGTGCCTACTGAGATGGTGTAGTTATCATACAGGTTTTTGATAAGCTCTGTTACAGTTGTCGGAACATGGTGGTGTTCTAGTACAGTTGAAAGGAGTTGATGGTCAACTTCACCAAACGCGTTTTTTAAATCGAGTAGAGTGACTATCAAATGCCTTTTATTGTTGCGCGCATGGTTTATAATGTGAGTTAACAGTTCGGTGTGTTCTATCGTACCAGACACCTCTTCCCAGAAACCTTTTTGAATTTTGGTTTCTATATATTTGTTATCCATCAGAAATGAGTAAATTCTATTGCGAATTATTGATGTGAACACCTTGCCGAAAACCGGCTGAAGTGTAATCGGTCGAAAGTTTGAAGGATCTTGTGGGGAGTCTTTCTTATGTATTAAGATTGTAAAGCCATGCTTCCAGATTCTAGGAACAACATTTCCCTCCCAGCAGTATACTAGAATACGGTGTAATGCAGTTCGAAGGAACGGACATCGTTTAAGAATAATTATACTGATTTGATCGAATGGGCAAGCAGAGGATCCAGGCTTTATTTTCTTGATTATGTTTGTCACCTCACGGTAAGACGGAGCCGCTATATTAAAATGTTTTGTTGGTCTATCGAATTTTTTCATCCACTGGGGAATTTCAACATTCCCCTTCCCACTATTAGCCTTCAGGTGAACACGGAAAAAAGCTTGTGCAAGTTTCTTTATCAAAGTCTGGGAGGATTGTGTTTTCATCCTCAAAAATTTCCTTACAATACTTCCAGAAATTTTCTTGGATGCGTTCATCATAATAATAATAATAATAATAATAATAATAATAATAACAATAATAATAATAATAATAATAGTGGGTTTATTAATACACGTTCAATAGCAAAAAGCTAAATTACAACGTGTTTACATCGTCAAATATTAATTAGAATTAATTAGAATTATTACTTATTTAAAACTATTTACATCAATGGAGTAAAGGAGAGCTTTCCTCGAGTAAAGGACAGCTTTGATAAAAAACTTTAATATTACTTATTGAAGCTTTGGTGATTAACAAGTTGTTATATAGTTCTTCGGTGTGGGCTAATACCTCATCGAAAAATCTAAAGAAATTGCAAACAGTCCAGAACTTCGCATGCCGAATCATCACGAGTATTAAAAAGTTTGACCATGTAACACCAGGTCTTCAAGAACTTAACGGGCTATCTATTGAAAACTTACTTATTTACAAAGACACGATAATGACTTATAAATGTCTGAACAACCTTGCGCCACGTTACCTTGTAAACAAATTCACAAAGCGATCTGATATTAATAATTGCCAGACTAGAAATAACAACTGTTTAAATATTCCAAGCTATAAAACTATTGCAGGGCAAAGAACATTTCATTATCACGCAGTTAAGATATGGAACGATATTGATGAAGAACTGAAAAAGATTCGAGAACTCAAGGTTTTTAAGAAAAAACTAAAAGAACACCTTTTAAATTCTTAGTTACTGTACTTGATGAGTACTATTTTTGAGAAGTCAGCATCTAACAAAGTAAACTTTTTCTGGAGTACTTTTACTTGGAACGAAGTCGTTTTAAGAAGTAACGTTTTACCTCGTTATTTTCATTTTGTAGCGAAGTATTTCGTTACTTTCTAACTTTTGTTTAATTTTACGTGAGTTATTCTCGATTTATTTTAATTTTGGGATAGGTAATAGGACCGCTACATGCGACTGGAATCTCTCGTTTGTGGCTTGCTTATAAGCATTAATTGTTTTAATGGTTTCTTATATCGTCATCGGGGTCTGGAAAGTAGACCATGCTGTGAAATACTGTATGTATGAGCGCGCATATAATGCGGGTGCCGTTTTTATGTCTTTCGTATGTCAATTCATTGGAGAAGTCCCCCCCCCCTACATGCTACAGACAGTAGTACTTTTACTTTTTACTTCAAGTATTTTTTAATTAAGGATACTTTGTACTTTTTACTTAAGTACGCTTTGCCTCCAGTTCTTTTCAAGTAGTTTCTACTCAAGTAGTTTTATTGTTAATTACTTCTACTTTTACTCGCGAGTACACATTATTCAAGGTAATTTAGGCACCACTGCACTGTGAGTGCAGTGTGATTTTTACGCTGTCAATTTTTTCAGCAATCGGTTTTACATATACAGGGTTCGAATGGACGACTTACGCTTTAGAAAAATTTTTGATCTGGGAATAACAAAGGATATTTTCTGAAAGAAGTTATCAAAATTAGAAAAACTGCAAAGTTTGGTTGCGAAATGTTGTAAAATACGGAAAATATAGCCCTGCGAAGTTGGCAAATTTGTATACATTTCTATTACGTGAGGAAATTGGTAACTAATTTAGTTACCAATTCACGCACATAATACAAAAGTATACAAATTTGCCAACTTTGAAGGGCTATATTTTCCGTATTTTACAACATTTCGAAACCAAACTTTGTAATATTACTAATTCCAAGACGCTCTTTCCAGCTTCGTCGTTCTTACTTAGATTAAAATTTAGTCTAAAGCGCAAGTCGCCCATTGTTGACACCATTCGGACATAGCGGAAAAGTCGATTAAAAAAATTTTCCTTATGAAAATTCCATGGAAATTTCATGAAATAGTGGAAACACTAGGTGAGACTATTGAACTATAAACAAACTGGAATGCTAACTCAGGGCTATGAAGTAAACAAATTTTAAACTTTGTGAATTTCATGTTTTCATTTTGTTCGTTTCCAAGGCAACACAGCACTTGATTTGTGCTAACCAATATCATGCTTTGCGCTGGCGTTTCCAGTCCATTCTATTTGATTGTCACCATTTTAGTTCAAAGTAAGCCAGTTGTACAGAATATATTAATTTGCGAACATAAAATGAAAGCAACACACAGCAACACTTTATTAAAAAAATTTCGATTTGCAAAATAGACTTTTTTGCATTCGCAAAAAATCGAATTTGTACTAATCACACCTCTTGTTTTAAATAATCAATTATTATCCTTCGTAGACCACAAAATTGTTTGGCATAGCTAAAATTGCTAAATTATAATTAATTAACCAGTACTCAGAAAGAGAACTTGAAAGGCTGATATTTGTCCCTGAGCATGCATGCACAAGAGCCTGCCAACCCTGGTCAATTTACCTCAGATGACAAATCATTTCTCACTCTCGTGTTTATCCAAATTTCACGAGAAACCATGCTATTACTTATTAATAATTTACATAAAAATGTTCGAGACAAATCAATTGTAGTTTTAACTTTCGCGTTTATAGCAAACATTCCACTGGCAAAGTTTTCCTGGCTTTGTTATATCACATTAGACAACACTAACAGCTTGAAAATTCCATATGTAATTTTTGTATAGTCGTGTTTATAAGGTAAATGCTTTTCCATTTAAAAATAAAGATGAAAGCCATATTTTCCACGCGAAGGCAACTTTTACTTTGTGTCGCGCGGCGCCATGTTTGTTTTGTTTTCAAGCAATCTGTGACCGTTATTTCTTTAAACTAAATTGCTTTAAACTGATTGGTTGATTTAATCATGACAATGTTTTTCCACCAATCAGATCAGTTTGTTACTGATTTTTGCACTTTGATTACAGAAAATTGCACTACTTTTTGGGATTACCTGCACTGAAATCAACCAATCATGCACGATCGAGTAATATTTTTATGTATATTTATTTACTATATACATAAGTGCAATTATTCCCAGTTATATTACATTATTTCATGGCGCCGCTGTTCAAATTCATGATTTCAAAAATCTTATTAAATAAAGCATTTTTGTGTTTGATAGAGTTTTCTCAACTGCGAAAAATGTTTTCGAAATTTACAGATTTTTTTAAAGACATTTACTGTAATACTTTATTATTTTATATAAATTACTTACGGGAAGTCAAAGAACAAAATAATATTAATAAAATTTTCTTGTTTGCTTTTAATTAATATTGTGATATTTATACACCTGCATCTTTTTACATGTGCAGAAATTAGTTACAAGATTGTTTAGTTACTTGAGATTTTGCACTTGCATGTTCACATTCGACTTTCGAACTTAATTTCAAGTTCAGAAGTATTATTCAGAAATCGAATTAAATAAAGCTACTGCATTCGATACAGTTTTCTACGTACGTTTTTGCCATACTTTTTGTCACGGTAAATGCATCATATTTCAATATTTTCTTCTAATTAAAATACGGTCCATGGCCTGGAATATGCCGCCACCCTTAAATATACATACGCATTCACCATATGTTGAAACTATTTTGGAATAAAACGATGCCTTGGAAAAAAGGATTCAAAAGTTAGAAAATATATTACTTATACCGAAAGTCATAAAAAAATTGGATTATTTACTTTTAAGATGTCATATTTATACACCTGCGTGTTATTACAGGTGCAATATTATTTATTTCAATGTGAGGCTGAACGTGCACTAATGCAATTCGAGTTTTAAACTGTTCTAAAATTATTAAATGAGAAAGTGCATAATTGGACAGGACATCGGCAACACCAAGGAACTGTGAAGTAAGTTGACCAAATTTCAAATAACGAAATGGTGATATAACAACTATAATTTGTGCATGATTATTTGTATAGAGTAATTGAAGAATCGAGTATAATTTAGGAAATTGGCATGATTTCTCTTTATGGGTTCAAACGGAACATAGGACACCTGGGAACACCCAAAAGCAGCTATAACCGTATAAAGTGAACCGTGCGCACAAGCGGATCAGAAAGATTATACCTTATATACAGTTCCATACTCATCCGTTGTCATGTAAACTTTATCCCTAATATATAGATTTCTTAAATAACAGCTGAAATGACTTGGCATATGACAGTGTAATTTGATGAACGAAACCATTAGAATGGGTTGATCATTTGTGATGAAAATGAACTTTCTCGGCGTGAAATAATAAAGGAATACCGAATGGTTTTCCGTGCAGGATTGCGTGATCCATACACGCGGGATGTTGCGAGACTTTCGGAAAGCGTAAAAACACACGAGCCGTAGGCGAGTGTATTTTTACGGTAATTGTTTTATAAAATTACTACAGTGAAACGACGCTTAACGTGATTAAAATTACTGATGAAATGTACAGTTCTCACAACATTCGTGAATTAACCAATCGCTACTCGCGCTATTGAAAACAACAACATATGTGAACAGAATTTGATCGCAAATTCGCGAAAATATACAGCGAAAATACAGGGACCTTTTCGATAAAATATACGAAATTTGAAATGGAAAACCCGCTAAACAGAGAGCCAAAGTAGTTTTGAAGATTCTCGACCTGAAAACTTGAAGATTGCGAAGCGTTTGATCAACTTTGAAGCGAGAGATGTTGTACTTACATGCCATGGTCTGATGAATTTCAACGCTATACGCGTTGCTACTTGCTGAATAGCAATGTATCGATCCGAAATTTATTCATACAATTAACTAAACCAACGTCTCAATAATTGGAAACTTGCTTCAAAGTCGAAAGGTATCGTACAATGAAACTTTACAATGCGAGTATATTTGTAAAATTATGTGCAAGAATTTCTGTTCAGAATTTCCCGTGCAGGATTGTCTGATCCTGCACGGCTGTTGACCAATCAAATTGCGTGTTTCACTGTAGTTATTATATAATGGACACGTATGCCACCAGAAAACGAAAATCGCAGAAGAAATCGCAACAAAGATTGCAAGTGTAAACGGGCTTTTAAATGAAAAACACGCCTTGGACAAATACTATATAGTTAAGTGAAAGCAGAGGAAAGCAAAAGATCTTTTCATAGAGCTTTCTCAATTCTTTCTGACTCGAAAATACACTTCAACAGTACTGGTATAACACGTCTATAAATCTCAATTGAAATAAAACAGCAGGTTTACGAGCCATTCGAGGTAATTCATTTTCTATATTTTTGAGCAAAAAAACAGCAAAAACGCCACAAACAAAACTCCAACCTTTCAAATGCATTTTAAAAGCTAGGCGAAATGCATGCATGTCCTAATAGGGAACAAAGCAATCGATTTTTTAGGTTTGTCATTTAATAAATATCCTAATGAGCGGTTTGACATACAAGCCTGCATGTTTAATTTAATTTATACTTTTGTTGGCCTTTCAAGACTCGGAAAAATATACGATTGAAACTCGTAAAATACTCGCCAGGATTACATGTATGTCAAACTATTAAGAAAGATATATGTAAAGTACAAAATCCTGCAGCGAAGTCTTTCGAAAAATATCATCACTTCGGGTATAGTATTTCGCCGAATCCCCCTGGAGTTGGTCTATAAATGATTTTAACGAAGTTATTTTTTGGCTCGATAAATATAAATTTTAAAATATATTCGTGTAGGATTGATATGATGGTTATCGAAAGCACATTTGATAAAAGATGTATGGCCATTGAACCACCAGCTGAATTATCATTTATGACAGCCAGTATGTCCATCATCTTAATCCTCACCAATATTCCTGGTAACATCCTCATTATCCTTGCTGTTGTTTTGAATCCAAATAGAAACTTACGAACTTCATTCAATTGGTTGGTCGTAAATTTAGCTGCGGCTGATTTAATTGTTGGCTTCATCACTGAGCCTCTCTCGGTATATTATCACATCAAAGAAGGCCTAAAGAAGAATAGAGTTCCTGAAGAGTTCAAAACAATCCACATGGTTTACTTTATCTCTTGTACTTCCTCAGTTCTCAGTCTTATAAGTTTAGCAGTTGAAAGATATCTTGCTGTACGAAAACCAAATACTTATCGTACTGAAGTGACTAATAAGCGAATTGTATTAACAATAGTAACGATTTGGTTGATATCTTTGAGTTTACCGAACATTTATCTCGATGTTGGTTTTACGACATACGCATTCATATTTGCTAATACCTCAATCGTAGTGGCTGTTTTAATCATCAGCATAACATATACTTTAATGAGGCGAAAGGTTAATAAAATAAGATCCGAAAGTGCAAGAAAAATTACCACCGCATCAATATCAGCAGAAGCGATAAAAAACCCGTTGCAATTTCAAAGTTTGTCAGTAGTTATTACAAAGAGAGATTCCCCAAATGCTATCACTCAAAACAGGCAATTGTTGGAAGCCAGGGCAACTGCACCCTCAACTTCAACTGATGCAAACAATTTACCGTCGCACGATCAAAACCAATTACCAACTGTCAATACAAGCCAAAGTTCCTCAAATGCTATCACTAACAGCGGGCAACTGTTGGAAACTAAGGTTACTAAAATGTTTCTGATAGTTCTCATAGCTCTGTTGTGTTGCTATGGACCATCAACGATAATGATGTACTTCATAAACTTCTGTGATGATTGCAGTTGTATCACCCTTCACTGGTTTCGTGATGTCCATATTTTGTTCACTCTTATGAATTCTAGCATTAATTTTTTGTGCTATGCTTTAAGATCCACCAGATTCCGAAATGCATTTGTCAAATTGCTAAGAATCAATAGAAGTTGACATTGTAGCAATTTAGTCAGGACCAGTATTGCGGAATAAGGTTCAGATAATATATTAACTGGAGGCCAGCACACACCCTTTAAACGGCACTTCTTTTAGTTTGAAAACAATAAAGCCGTCGGAGAGAAAGTATTAATAAGCGATCAATTAAAATACATCGGCAAAGTGATACTCAGACGACTGAAACATTAAAGAGTAATTATAATATAAGTGGGATATAACCAGGCCCGAAGCTACGGGGTGGGGGGTGTAACACCTCTTCAGAAATTCTATTCCAAGCTTCAATCGGCAGGACTGCTATTTCAGTGGGCTGACAAAAATATTTTTGACAAATAAAACTACTACAGATATGATTTTCACCTGTTATATCAGAAACGAAATTTTGGTTACCCGAAATTTACTCAGCAGAATAATCATTATAATAGGTTTATAGTAAAACAAGTCCAGATTGACAGTTAAACCACATAGCGATACAAAAGATCTCAAATGAAGTATATGTAGCACGCTTTGATAGGTTGAACCACTAAACACAATATATTCCCGCCAAAAACTCAATTATTAAATATGGCAATTTAGAACAGGCTTCATTTAGAGCACAACCGGCTTAACTTCAGGGACCGCGGGGCAGGGGGGGGGGGCAACAATTTCCACACATATGTGATTTTTATAAACTAAGAATACTGAAATATTTCAGATCAGTTAACAATATATTTATAACTTACATAGCCAAGTATTCAATCCATTTCTGGTTGGATTAAACAAATGATGGGTAATGTTAGATTAAGAGTCGTCTATTAAGAAACTTTTTAACAGCAACTAGTAAATTTGATTGCATTTTTGGGACTCTGGGAGGTCTCAGCCCCCTTAATCCAAAAGGAGGTCTGGGAGGTCTCAGCCCCCTTAATCCAAAAGGAGCTCTGGGAGGTCTCAGCCCCCTTAATCCAAAAATGGCTCCGCGGTTCCTGAATTTAGTTTACCTCCATCGGAAATTTTACAAGCTTCCATGGCTAGCATGCACGTGGTCGGTACAAGCTCGTTCGTCAGTCGGTTCAAATGACCTCCCCCCGTGAAAAATTTCCTAGGGACGGTCTGGATATAACGGATAATTTGATTGGCTAATGCGCGTGCATTGTGACGCAATAATGCACTGTGTTCGTGGCACTGCCTTGCTCTTTCTGTGTTTTCCCCCCGTTTCATCTTTGCTTTAAAATATATAAACAAAACTATAAAGCTTTTAAAATACAAAGTGTATCAGAAAGTAGGAAGGAATAGACGAAAGGAACAAAACAATATTATCTATAGTTCTACGTGTAAAAACAGTATAAAAATTAACCGACTTGGCATTCGTCGAATTTGTTTTTGTTTCGAAAAGGAAAAAGCGTGCAAGATAGTCGAGAAAAAACTTGAAAAAGATACAGGAATACCAAAAACATAGAAAAAAGCAACAAAAACTGAACATGAGTGATTTAGAAAGTACCTTCAATGGTTCTGATAAAACTGCTAGATATATTTTCGGCGAAAGGCAAACAATACAATAATTTCAAAAATTAAAACTGAGCAACACGACGAAACCTACGATTTAACGTCCTTCATGGCAAATCCGGCAGCCCGAATGCTGAAAAACATTAGCAAATCAGTCTGTGTATCACTGGATTCCCTCCCCCAGTATTTTAAACAGTTTTTCCGCAATTTTAGTATTAAAACTTTCTCAAAATTTTCTTTTGTTTTTGCTCGTTCGCTCGCTTGAAAATTCAAGCGACAGTAAAAGCATGCGCGTGACGTCACCGAGTACATGCTGGAGAATTTCAAAGTTGATCTTTTGAGTAAAATTGTTTACTATGTAATATCTTCTACTTGTATTATAAAAGAAGTAGAAAAACTCGTCTCGTGCGTTTATGGTTAGCTAATGCACTCTAAAAAAAAAATTGTCCTAATGTAATAATTTGAATGCCTGAGCTTCATGCTGAACCCACGGGAAGCGTGAAATACAGGGTGTACTGGGATTGCCAGTAAATGAGGCGAAAAACAGGTTTCAACTCACTTTAATTATCAAAATATAGAAAATTACCAAATAATAGATTTAGGTAAAACACTGTTTTCCTTCGCACGCCATATTAGCTCCTATGCGCATGCTCGAACAAAACGTAAAAAACATCGTTCAAAAGGCGATCGCAAAGATTATTGTCTACAACTTTACTACAACCCAATACACGGGAAGGACTGGGGTCGATGCGATCGCGTCTTAAAATCTGAATGTAAATTTCTCTAATGCATTGTTCACTCAATACTATATAATGTCACTGTCCATTCATACACTCTCTTTTGCTTCCGACTTGGTTTCCTGGTCTTGATCCATATCCACTGGTACTAATAACGATAATCGCTGAGCACTTCGTGACACAATGACAGCCTCGTTATGTCCTTTGTATTTTTGTACCTTTTCTCCAATTTGAAAATTCTTGTACATGACATTTACTCGACGAACTTTTCCGTCTTGACGGGGAAACACTTCTTGTACTATACCTAAACGGTAATCTCCTCGCAAGGTATTACGGTCGGCGATTATTACAACATCTCCTGGGCGCAGGTTACGGTTGGCTGTATTCCACTTGCGACGAATAACCAAGGTTGGGGCGTATAACTCCGTCCATTTGTTCCAGAACTCGTCTGTCACGATCTGGACAACATGATAACGCTTTCCTGGATTATTACCGTTAGGCTGCCATCCACCAGGATTCTTCGCCGTTGCTCTGCCCAGTAACAAGCTGTTGGGAGTAAGGATGTTTAATTCGGAATCAGCGCTCGGGAGGGTTCCGATAGGTTTTTCATTGAGGAGGTTCGTGGCTTCGCTACACACCGTCATGAACTCTTGGACTGAAAGACGTTGGTTATTGATTGCGAAATGAATAGCTCTCTTGGCACTCTTCACCAGGGATTCTACAGCTCCTTGGTACCAAGGACTATCAGCGGGGCCGAAGATCCAGGTCAATCCATTCTCTGTGCCACTTTTATGTAGGGATTGTCGGTCAATGTTCTTCCAGGTTTCCGTGAGTTCTCTTTCCGCACCAATTAGTTGTGATCCGGGATCACTATATATGATTTCGGGCCAACCACGAACGCTGACGAATCTGCTGAGGGCCATTAGGAATGATTCGGTATCGTACCCGAATACAGCTTCAATGTGGACTGCTCTCATAAATAGATCTGTGAAGATTACTCCGTACGCTTTACCACTTGTTCTTTTCTGTACTTCTCCACGAACCGCGTAGGGTCCGAAAAGGTCTATCATAACGTGGTTGAAAGCTGGAGATGGTTTCAATCTTGCTTCCGGTAATTGTCCCATTTGCTGCTCGAGGAACTTTGCTTCTCGTAGCTTGCAAAGTTCTGCTGGAAGTGGGTCATCCCATCCGAGCTTGCGGGACCAGGTTTCGCGTAAGTATATCTTGGCCATCAATGTAAATGTAGAAATTAGTCCGAGTGGGTCATAAATCTTCATTACTTGCTCAAGAACGATTCGTCTGGTTAACACATTCGGTAATGCACTTGGTAGGTCGCTTTCTAGCAGGTTTGGTCCGCTTCGAACTCCGCGTCTCTTGCTACTGAAATTCAAAGTTACTTCATAGGTGATGGTGTCTTGCTTCGGATTCCATCCCAGACCGAGCACTCGTAAGTTTTCGTCAGTTCCTTTTAACATTATTAGTCCTTGGTCTGAGCTTTCAACACTCTTTTCTGGCAGGTCCAATTTTAACAACTCTTCTTTCACGCGAGGTTGTGTTTCGCCACTAAATTGCCAGCACTTTACAGCAAATCCTCCTTTGGCAAGGATATCCTCGGCTTCCTTGGCAATCTTTAACGCATCGGGTTTACTTGGACGTGAGTCAATCAAATCATCCACGTAACTGGAATATTTTAGGAGATTTGCGGCTTGTGGACTATCCTCTCGATACAACTCCGCGGTCTTGTAGACAGCTTCTGTGCTGATGGCGGGGGCTGGTGTATCGCCCATATTGACTCGTTGTATAACGTAAATGTCCGGTGGGCGATGCTGCTGTAAATCTCGCCATAGGAAGCGGTGGCAATGCTGTTCCAAGGCCTTCAAATAAACCGAGTTGAACATCTTTCGAATATCTCCGATTAGCGCTACTCTTTCTTCTCTCCAACGTAGAAGAATACCAACCAAGTTGTTCATGTAGCTGTCTGGACCTTTTGCGAGACAAGCATTTAATGAAACACCTTTGTGCGTTTGGCTGGAGTTGAACACAATTCTCACGGGCGTAGAATTGGAATGCGGGTTTACAACTGCTAAATGGGAGATATAGAACACCAGTCCAGTCCAGCTCTTTACTTCTTCGGATGCTAGTTTTCTTGCTACACAACGATCGACCATATCGTCCATTTGGCTGTTGTACGTCTTAGCCCATTGGTCATCTTTCTTAAGCGTTCTTTCAGTTCTTTCTAACGTAGCAAGTGCTGTGTGATAATTGTCGGGTAAACTTTGTGGATCTACGAGCCAGGGATAACTGGTTATCCAGCATTGGTTAACTTCGTCGTACTCGAGGTTTTCTTGAATCAGTTTTAATTCCTGTTCTTCCTTGAAACAGTAAGTGTGTCCGACAGTAGGGCACTTATTACAGCGACATCCACCACATTGTGGAGAAATTTCGGTGGCAAGTTCTTCTCCTTGTATAAAATTGTCAATCTGGCTTTCGTCCTTTCGGTGACTATAGGAACTCGATACATTAACAGAACATTCTCTGGTATGGTTGGGATGGAACTCTGGATGTGAGTCCAAGCGTGTCTTGTATGTCTCCACTTTCACGTTCACATCGTGTATTTTCTTTGCGAGGTTGGTGTCATATCTTGTTTCTTCGATCAGATCTGGATGGGCGCCTTGGAGGCAAATCCCCAATGCTCCATTCATGATACTTAGATTGTCGCCACATCTAGCTTCTTCTTGCTTTGGATGGAGACCGAAGTAATCACAGCCCAGCAGGACATCCACGTGTGTTGACTTTCGCTGGAGTGTTTCAGGATCATATTCTGGAAATAACTTGACCAGGACTTTAGGATCCAGTTTGCTTACTTGTCCGGTAATTCGCTCCATACCAAAGGCCGTAATAGTGACTTTCTTTCCAGCACTTGTGTTGATTGGAAACTCGTATTGCCACGTGTTGTACGTTTTCTCGACATTTCCCATAGTTGTCACGTCAAGAGAGAGTTTTTTAACTTTCTTTGCTTTTATTCTTTCCGCAGCACTATGAGTGATATAACTTGCGTTAGAGCCTCCATCACAGAAGACGGACACTTTTCTACCACTGTCACTAATGGTCGCTTGGTGGATAGGGTATAATGCCATTGAATCACTTTCTACGGTATAGGATGCTAATTCCTTGTTCCCATCATCTCCAGTTTTCGATTTCTCCCCGGAATCTTTTGGGAGCTTTGGTGGGATGCACAGCAGGGAATGATGTTGGTCACTTCCACATGAGGAACATGGGAGTTTTTTGGGGCAGTTAAGCTTCCTATGATTACCAAAACATTTGAAACAAGCGTTTACCTGCTTCAACAACTCATATCTGCCATCTTTACCGCTGATGGACAACTTCTGGAATTCTTTGCACTGTTCGGTGGTGTGATTTATGGTGTCTTAGCTGGTTGAGCTCTTCCAATTGATTGTAGGCAGATTCAACTTCATCAACTAATTCAACCAGAGCTTTATAATCTTCTTCTTTTACAGGTTTTAGCCTTTGAAGATCTTCCAAAGCAGCTTGTACACTGGCAGTGGTATCTCCATAGTGACACTCTAGCTTTTCCCACATGATGTCGTAGGCTTCGGGCTTGGTGACAAAAACAGATTTGATGCGGTGTTTGGCTTCTCCTTTAACTGAGTTCTTAAGTTCGTGTGCTAATGCAGTTTCATTATAACTTGCAGACTCAGCCATAGACTTCCAGACTGCCTTGAACTCTGGCCAGTCTTTCCTAAGTCCGGAGAATGTGGGTAGGGCCATCCTTTTTAGCCGAATGGTGGAATCTTGGTGGGAAGGTCTTGTATTAATCAACGGGACTGTGGGTTGATGTCCAGATGGGGTTGTATACATAGGACTGGTTGACAAATTGCTCCTGGTCTGATTGTGGTTGCTATGATAGCTGGATGCCACTCTTGGCAGATTTGATCCCATTGGCATTGCAAATGCAGGGAAACCTGTTGATAAATTTGTAGGATTCTGACATTGCTGAGACAAATGCGTTTGTCCCGATGTGGAACTGCTTTCTGGCTGAAAGGTGGTAGAGGGAATGAAGGTTTGAGCTGATGTATTCAAGCAAAAACCCGTACTGGTCCCAGGTAAGGTTGGTAGGGGGGTGTTGGCCTTTGTAATGTTGGTGGTAACTTGGGTGCCAAAGGGACTGGAGTAATTAAGGGGGGAAGCGTTAATTGGCAACAAAGGTGGAATTGTGTTGGTCTCGATAGCAGGGGTGTCAATAATTTCAGGGTGGGTTGCAGTATAAATGGGCTCAGGGGGGATATTGCTGTTGATTGCCGAGGGGGAAGTGGTGCTGATGGTCTCAGGGGGGGTGTTGATATCCGGGGGGGTCATGGTGTTGATGGTCTCAGGGGGGTGTTGGTGTTGATTTCCGGGGGGAGACATGGTGTTGATGGTCTTAGTGTTCTCAGGGGGTGTTGGTGTTGATTTCGGGGGGAGACATGGTGTTGATGGTCTCAGTATCCTCAGGGGGGATGTTGGTTTCAGAGGGGAAAGTGGCATTTTCAATGTGTAATGATTTAACAAATGCTTGTTGCTCATGCGAAAACAAGTTTATCTTTCTGATGCAATTGTAAACTGCTCTGATAATAGCATCGACTTCTTCTTGGATTAGGTTAACTTGCTCTTGTGTTTCAATCGAGCCAAGTTTTGCCATGTTATCACATATTATGTTCAAAATTGACTGTAGATCATTTTTATCTAGTTGTAAAGCTGCCATATTCACATTTTCCAGTTTGAAACTCTCATCAACGACTGTGATTAGTTCATGAATTCTACAAATGTCATTCTTTAGGGCAACTTTGACAGGCCCAGCACTTTGTCGTCTAGCTTTTTGTTCGATTATTGTCTTTACACTAACAAATACACTCCTAGCTTCTTCATAGCACCTTTTTACATTGTCTCTGTAAGTCATAATGTCTTCACCATTAACTACACGGTGTTCAGCGTATTTTTCGTCAGATACAATGAGTTCGTATTCCTCATTTATAACGCAAAAATCATCAAATACCTTTTCAAGTTCGAACATTGAATCCTTTAAAATATCATATTCACAATCTCTGTTGTAGGCTCCGATCAGACGCCTCGCAGCGACAGTGACCGCCATTTTAGCCTTGCTTCTTTCTTGTTTTTTATCTTCAACATTCATGGCTGATTCCTGGATTTGTCTTCAAGCAATACACAAGTTTTGGGCTGCAAACCTCCTTTGTATTTAGGCTTCTTCACAATTCTGGAATGCCACAGCGAACGTTAGTGTTTTACTGTACTGGGATTGCCAGTAAATGAGGCGAAAAACAGGTTTCAACTCACTTTAATTATAAAATATACGGAAAATTACAAAATAGTAATTAGTGGTAAAACACTGTTTTCCTTCGCACGCCATATTAGCTCTTATGCGCATGCTCTAACAAAACGTAAAAAACATCGTTCAAAAGGCGATCGCAGAGATTATTGTCTACAACTTTACTACAACCCAATACAATATATTCAAATTGTACTTTTCCTGCGTCCTGAACAGGCGTCTTAGGGGCTGTTTAGATGTTGGAATGCGGGAAGATTTTGATGTATTGAAATATGTCGCTATAGGCCAGCCTAGACCTAGGCCTTCTAGTCTTATTTATATGTTTTTAATATTCAGCGCTTTTTCACATGAAAAGACTGGGACTAGGTGGTTTGGGGGCGGGGCGGAGGAATTGCGTCAGGCTTGTGTCCTTCCTCCGCCCCGCCCCCAAATCACCTGGTCCCAGTCTTTTCATGTGAAAAAGCGCTGAATCTTAAAAAAAATATAAATAAAAATAGAAGGCCTAGGTCTAGGCTGACTATAGGCTAAACTAAAGCTTCAACAACCTTTCGTTTACAGTTAAATCTAATCTATCTTTAGAAGATAACGTAGTTTTTTGCTGAATCGTCCACCGTATTTTATTTCAATACATAAAAATAATCCCTCCTCACATCTCGTCCTGGCAAAGCGGGATCATATTCAGCAAATTGTGCATGTTGCCTTTGATCTCTTGCAACTCCTAGTAATGTACTAATGCACTTATCACTGGGAAGGGGACTTGATGGGGATTAGACGGGGATTTGATCCTTTTTCTTGCCCCAGGAGGTGGGGGATTTTTACATTTTAGCAAATCTTCTCAAGCAGGAGGCTGGTACCGAATTCGCGACCGCATTTCAAAATGGCGAATTTTGAAGGTCAACTTGAAGGCTTTTATTGTTATGTAAATGCATTTAAATGTTGCCTCCTTGTTCTGGTATTTATATATATCTCAAACTATATCATTTGCATGTGTAAAAGTTTGGTCGTTTAATTTCTGTTTTAAAACAGTTGAAGAAAAACGTTCTCTTGATTCATTTTTATATGAACATTGTTATTTTTATGATTTGTCAATAAATGCTATTGAATATTACGCTATTGAAAAGTGCTCAGTATGAGTTTAGACGGGGTTAGACTTTATGTTAGTCCCCATGTTATGTACATGTTATGGGGCATTTTTGCAGATTGTTTTCGCTTACAGTCTAATGCCCCATGTATGGTGGGAGTGTGGGGCTTCCCAGTGACAAGTGCATAATGGTATTTTTGAGTGTATCTAAAAGTCGAGAGTCGAGAGTAAAAGTCGAGAGTCGAGAGTAAAAGTCGAGAGTCGAGAGTAAAAATCGAGAGTCGAGAGAAAAGTCGCGAGTCGAGAGTAAAAAGTCGAGAGTCGAGAGTAAAAAGTCGAGAGTCGATCGAGAGTAAAAAGTTGAGAGTCGGCAAATGTCATCAGAAACAACAACGTCAAAATATTTTTAACCACGTTTAACACAATCTATATATAGCTTTACATAGCAATTCCATAAGGGACGGACCATTATTTTTTTGGAGGGGGGGGGATGGACATTTTGTCAACGCAAACAATTTTTTTTGGTGCTGTTGTCGTTGCAAACAATTTTTTTGCGCCTGCTTCCTTCTGCAAACAATTTTTTTGTCCATCTGATTGCTGTGGATTTGATGATAAATTGATATATACTGTTTAATTTGTGCCCGATTACACTATTGCATGTGTGATCAGGGCCGTAGGAAGCTCTTTTCGATTGGGGGGGGGGGCTGAAAGCGAGGACCGAAGACCCGAGGAAATTTTTAAATTCAGATTCTCTGAAATGCCATTATTTCCTGGACTTTGGGGAAGATTTGACAGAATTCTGATGGTCAGAAAACAGCGAAATTTACAATTCTGTAGTACTAAACTTTATATTGGATAAGTTGCAGGAAAGTATGGGTAATATCTTCATTCTTTGCAGTTTGTCATGGATTAAATGATAAAGGTCTGCATGATTTTGAAAAATGAATAATTATTAGCAAATTGTTGTGGGGGCTGCAGCCCCTCCCCCCGGTTGCTACGGCGCTGGTGATCGAACAACATGTGGTGTTGTCAGAAGTATAAATTTAATATGTAAACAGACATTAATAGTTTTTTTGGTATACTGGTCCGGGCCTTTTTTAAAGATTTTCCCGTGTGAGGGGGGAGGGGACCTTTCTGTGAGATAATATATTAGAGGAGGATAGGAATGGCTGACGGCCACGTGGTCTGGGGGCATATTTCCCCAGAAAATTTTTGAAATTTGAAGCCCTGAAATGCCATTTCCTGCATTCTGAGCATTTAAATTTGCTCTAAAATTTATGCTAAGTATACTTGTATTTGAAATAGGAAAAAACGCACAACAAAATAAAAAATTATTAACAATGTAGAAAATTACTCTCAACAGCCTCCGTAAATAATTTCCCACAAAAATAATAATACTGTAAAGTTTAATACATAATAAATCTCATATAAATCCCGATACTGAGTCACTCGCTTCGACTCCTCACAACAACAACACATGTGCTTCCCGCCAAAATTTCCCCAACCCGATTTTAGGGTGGGTGTTTCCATGCAAGTGTTTCCATCACACTCCCCCCATATGCATTCTAGACTAGATGCATATGTTATAACTGTCCGTTGTTCTATGATCTAATAAAGTTCGGTATATAACCTTAATATTACTAATAGCTAATAATGTCAACGTTAATAAGAGTCCACTACTCTTGTTAATGATTAATGTTAAGTGTTTATATCTCGTCTTCTTCTTCTATCTCTTGGATTTGTCTAATCCGGGCGTTTGCTGTAGCTGCTGCGGCTCGCTTGGGTCGGAATTCTGTTGCTCTTGGGTTTAGACTCACTCCGTTCGCGATCGGCTTGGCATCACAAGCTAACTCAAGTGGATATAACAATTGGACTGGCCTTTCTATTGTTCCCTTTCCAGTCTTGAGCTGAACGCCTCGAATAACTCCGTCTTTACCAACGAATGTTTTAGTAACCACTGCTAGGGGCCAAGTTCCTCGATTCTTGGAATCTGCTTTCACGATAACTACATCGCCTTCCGTCGGTCGAAATTTGCTCACTTTATGCGTTAGATTGTGTCTTTCCCTTAGTGCAGTCAGATATTCTCTTTGCCATCTACGCCACAACCCATCCTTGCACGATTTAAGAAATTTCGCTCGTTTCCGAATATCTTGTTCTGCTATTGTCCAAGTCTGCTGTTCTGGCAAATGAGACGTGCGCTGATATAGGAATGTTTCTGGTGTCAAAGTTGGCAACTCTAGATCATCTTCAACATAGCTGAGCGGTCGACGATTAATTTGCGTTTCGACATCCAACAATACTTCACTAAGCTCCGTCCAAGTAAGAACACCATTCCCAATTACTTTGTACATGGCGGACTTAACAATTGCAATAAGCCTCTCAAACTGCCCGCCCCACCATGGGGCACGACTTAAATTGAACCTCCATGTTATCTCGTACCGTTCTAGAAGACCTCGAAGTCGTTCATCCTTCCGTAGCTGTGAAATCCATTTTGCGGCTTTAATAAATGTTCCACCATTGTCCGAGTAAATGATACGTGGTCTTCCACGACGCGCGATAAATCGCTTAAGACATGGTATGAACGTTTCCGTTTCCATATTTGGTAATAACTCTAGATGCACAGCTCGAGAAAGGCTACACGCGAAAATAGCCAAATATGCCTTTCCTTCCTTGTTGCCTTTCTGCTTATATCTGATAGGACCAGCAAAATCTGTACCGATGACTTCAAAGGCTCCTCCGACCGTGGTGCGTTCTTCTGGTAGTTGACCTGGTACCGGTTTAGTGATCGCTGACGCGCGGAATCTCTTGCACCCATAACAGTTGCTACGAACGATTTTGACTAAGCTTCGCAACCGAGGTACCCAGAATTGCTCTCTAACTGCAGCCATAGTTAAGTTTACTCCCCCGTGGAGCGTTTCACTGTGTACTCGTTGTACTAACTTCTCTGTAAACTTCGCGCCTCTTGGAAGGAATATTGGATATTTTCCTTGAATTCTCCCGTGACATACCAGTATATTATCTGCATTAGTACGTAATCCTAACTCTTCCACCAACTTTGGATAGTGTGGTTCTTTCTGTACTCGTTGTTGAACACGCCGAATCCACCAATCGCGTTCTCTGATTACTTCTTCCGTCGTAATTGGTCCGGACCTTTTGTCGTTATTTCTGCAGTTGTGTATGAACCTCTTGATCCACACCCCAACTCTACAGGCTCGTCTTAAGTTTAAGCGTTCCAGTAATCGATCGAATTCGTCGGCATCGTCCTTGACATTTACGACATTTAATAGTTCCTTTGTTGCTCTTGCTTCCGTCTCTGAGGATGGCGAAGCTTTCGTCACCAAATTTTCTGGCCACTCACTCTCGTCTTGAAGCCATTTTGGACCATTCTCCCAAAGCGCTTTCTGTTTGATTTGACCACCCCTGCTTGCCAGGTCAGCGGGGTTATCACTTGTGGGCACATATCTCCAATGGATCTCTTTGTGTAACTGTATCTTGGCCACTCTGTTCGCCACGAATTGTTTATACTGACCGTTCCCTTTGAGCCAATGTAGGGCAACTGTACTGTCAATCCACCCGAATAGTTGTGGTGTTGGGATATTATCAAGGGCGTTTCGTACATTGATAAGCAGGTTAGTAGCCATGTGCGCGCCAACCAGTTCAAGCCTAGGTATTGTTAAGGTTTTCTTGGCAAGACGACCTTTCGCTGCTACAAGTTGTTGAGTGGTTCCAGAAGGTTGATGAACCACCGAATAAACAGCCGCTCCAACTCCTTTCATAGAGGCATCACTAAATGCATGTAGCTCTACAGCTTCGATTTCTTCCTGATGACGAGTGATTGATCTTGGTACTGAATATTCCCCAAGCGTTTCTTCCTCCCATTTTTTCCAACGTTGTTGAAGGTTCTCGTTTAATGGGGTATCCCACGCCTTTTGAGATTCACAGACTTCTCGGTAGATTTGTTTACCTTCGAGTGTCACTGGTGCGATAAGTCCTAGAGGGTCGTAGATCCTGGCTAGCTTTCCGAGTACTCCACGTTTTGTCGGTTGAACCTCTTCTTTGGGGACTACTACACTCAAAATGTCCTGTTGCTTATTCCATTTCAGCCCGAGTATCTTTGAATCTTGTTGGTTTACATTCAATTGTTGCTTCGCGTAGGTCTGCTCGTCTTCTGCTTGTGTTGTGGTCTTGTCTTCCAGTTCAGGAACATTGGAATTCCACTTGTGTAGTTGGAATGTGGCGTCTTGAAGTATCTCACTGGCCATTTCCTTCGTGTGTTGTGCTTGCTCGGTTGTTTGTCCACCTGACAGAAGGTCATCGACATATAGACTCTTTCTCAGCTCAGCTACGACTTCAGGACATCTCCATTCCCATGTGTCAAGATGAGCTTCTAGAACACCGTTGAGGAGAAACGGAGAAGGGGCAAGACCAAACAGAACCCGCGTAAAACGGTATGTCTCGATTTCAGCTTCTTCACCCGACCGCCAATGGAATCTTAGGGCATCTCGTTCGGTTTCTCGTACACGTATTTGTAAGAATGCTTGGCGAATGTCTCCGGTTACTGCAACTGGATAAACGCGTTGTCGGACTAGAACATCCCATAGTCGATTGAGAAGTGGGGGTCCGGGGTTAAGGCATTCGTTGAGGGATGGGGAATCAGGAGACGCACGTGCTGACGCGTCATAAACGACTCGTAACTTTGTCGATGATGCCGCTTCTCGCACAACCGGTTTGTGCGGAATATAGAACTCTTGACCCGAGGCTTTGACAGGAGCTTTCTCAACGATATTTTCTTTTACTTGACTCTCAATAACTTCGTTATACGCTACCGTTAAGTCCTTTCGCTGTAAACTTTTCTCTAGCTTGCTCAATCGATGTAGACTTCCATGTTCGTTATTCGGCAAATCTGGATGGTTAGCTCGCCAAGGTAACCCTGTCTCGTACCAGCCTTCTTTGTCACGGTGAAGTTGCTCCTTGAACTCAGCATGCACGATAGTTTGGTCATTCTCAGCTGCATCAGCAAGTCCAAGAATGTCCATTCGACATAAACCTTCGTAATCACTTTGTGAAGTTTGCGTCAACAGCATCCGGTTCCGGTCGAACTCTGTTCCAGGGCTCATTATGAACCATCCCATCTTCGTCAGCTCCGCGACTGGGCCACCTTCCTTTCTCACACAAGGTTTCGTCTCGGTCTTGATGCGTGCGTATTCGCCACTTCCAAAGATAACATGCACAGGAAGTTGACTCTTGGTGTCTTTGTCTGCGATTATCACCTCAGACAGATGGGCGTTGTCTCGTATGAGGTCAGCGTAATTTGGGTTTTCAACAGTGAGAAGTTCTGGTTTATTCACTTTGATGAACTTCACTGGCATTTGGTACTGTCCGTCAACGGATTCAGTGTTCAATTCGTATATGTCCATGCGTACACTCTTCGAGGACATAAGCATTTCAACTTGCCTTGTTTGTGTCGAAATAGGTTTCGCTTTCACTACTTCTACGAGTTTCGCTGAAATATATGAGCTCCCAGATCCTGTATCGATTAACGCTCTACACTTGACTCCGTTCACCTTGATAACAATAACTGGCAACACGCTTTCGCTCGACTGGTTTGTAGTCATAACTTGCTCCTTTCCTTCGACTTTTGATGTATCACAGATGGAAGTGTGGTGTCGTTTTCCACAATTTTGACAGGATCCCTTGCTGGAACACTCAGCTGCACGATGGGTTCCAATCGCACAATTGAAGCATAATCGTTTTCTTGCTAGAATTTGTTTCCGTTCTGTCACACTAGTAATCTTGGTGCAGTTCCCTGCTTTATGAGTTACGTCACCGCAATAAACGCATTCACGTGACTTCGCATGAAAGGATTTGATTTGTCGATCTTTATCTCGATCTGTACGACTTTGGTCCACGGGGTTCCTCTTGACCCACTGGCGAACTGCCTCTGATAACTGGACAAAGGTCCACCTCTCCCAGTCAGGGTCTGTTCGAACAAGATCCCCCCTAATCCCGGGGAGTTTGTCCAACGTCATCGCGACGTTGCCGTTAACCTGACTCAGTCTGTTCATTGTTTGCAGTGCTTGCACACAATGGTTAAGACGCTCACTAAAATCTCGAATTTTCTTGGGGTTTGCACCGTGAATATATGGCAAATCCATTATATCCTTGACATACGACTTAATAATTTCCGATTCTTTCCCATAGCGATCTTTCAGGATAGATTTTGCCCTGTTGTAGCCCTCTGTAGTAAGGGTAATGAATCAGTAACATGCTTTATTTTGGGGTTAAGCAACTCACAGAGGAAGGTAAATTTCGTGATGGGGGGCATATTAGTTTTATCGACTGTTTCTGTAAACTGTCCCCAGAACCTTTGCCAATCTTGAAAATCTCCACCAAATTTTGAAATAACTAACTTCGGTAGTTTAGCTAATGTACTTTGTTGCGACTCACCTTGCAAATTCCCCTCTTTATTTATTGTCAGTGTTTCCACTTTCGCACTTGCTAACTTCGTCTCGAATTCCATTCTTGTTTTGAAAAGCATTGTTTCAAATTGAATTTGTTCGTCTCTCGCTACGTTATCCTTCTCCTTTCGACGCTGATCAAGCCATGTTCTCAGTTCTTCGACGACTTTATCCGACTCCGCTAGTTTATTGTCGATTTCCGTGTTCCAAGTTGTAATTTCCGTAATGTCTGTCTCGGCTTGTATTTTAATCTCTTCGACAGCTACTCGCATTTCGTTTATGCTATTTGTTATAGATTTGATAGTAGCACAATGTCTCTCGATTGCATCTTGTTGATTCGATTCGACAATCGTACCTGTTCGATCTACAGTAAGCTTTAATTGTTTCAACTTCGTATCCAATTTCTTCGCTTCCATGTTTCCACTTTATAATCTCGCTTAAAATCTCGCTTAAATCTCGCTTAAAATCCCGTCGTCGAGGTGCCACTTGTAGAAAATTACTCTCAACAGCCTCCGTAAATAATTTCCCACAAAAATAATAATACTGTAAAGTTTAATACATAATAAATCTCATATAAATCCCGATACTGAGTCACTCGCTTCGACTCCTCACAACAACAACACATGTGCTTCCCGCCAAAATTTCCCCAACCCGATTTTAGGGTGGGTGTTTCCATGCAAGTGTTTCCATCAACAATAATTTATCATCATTACTTAGTGCCAAGTAGAAAAACGTAACAATTTAAATCGATTTTGTTAAACAAGGAGAAAGGATAAAGCCTAAAACTTACTTTTTGTTTATCAATTTGTTATTTTTCGCTGGTTTGTTTGTGTAAATTTAGGAAAAAGGGAAATGAAAAGGAAAATGTGATTTCGTGAGAGGGGCATAAAGCAGACATCCCCCCACCGCTTGTATGTTAAAAAAGGCCCTGATACTGGTCCTCTCATTATTTACGCTACACAATGTCTTACACCAGTACTTGTCCAATTACCTATTTTATACAAAAAATACCAAAAAATAGAACCCCCCCCCCCAAGAAATGACTGTATTAAATAGATTAATATTTAACCCATATGTAGATTGCAACATGTGCCCAGCGTGTCCCATCCCAGGGCTTTGGAGTGAAGACCCTGGGTATGTTGGTGAGCACTCTGTTCATTGTCATTAACCTTGGTTGATGTTGCATAATCTCATTAGCTTGCAAACTATTTTTTTCCTCTTTTCTATGTGTGCAAACAATTTATTTGCACTTTTTTGTCTTTGCAAACAATTTTTTTAAGAATTTTTCACCCCCCCCCCTCCAAAAAAATAATGGTCCGTCCATAACAAGTACCAACGGCTGAAATGCAAACTTTCCAATAAATATTGCTACAACAGTCAATAATAATAACGTGAACAAAAAAGATTGGATAAGAAAATAATATCGCATTTGATGCCTCAATCTTGCTAAATGTTTTCACATGTCATTTCATTCTAACTGACACATAAACTCCGCTGAATTTTGACAGCCATCTCCAGGCTTGTAACTAAAATGTCACTTATTCATTAACGTACGTTTATATCAAACGAGAGCGTATTAAGAAATCCACGTTGATCACAATCTAACGATTCATACAATTGTGAATTCATAAATACGAGCCAGTAAAAATAGGATTCTTTTGTCGTATGTGTGACTCTATCGGGTGGTAATATGTCTCGCATGTGATTGTAAAGTCCTAGTGTTTATACGTAGCTTCACATATGAGTAATTTTTCGCGGAAATAGGTGTATGTAAAAGCGGGAAGAATGGACAGTAATATATAAGGAATCGATAAAACTAGTTATTAGATAATAGTTATTATTATTGAATGTTGTGGCTAAATTTTTGCGAAAGTTTTTGTTTTATATTATACTGGATTATTCCTTTGATTGTATATGCCTCTAGTTTACTTTAATTTCGAGAATTTGAGCATACTAAATTATGTTTCGCAAATATTGTTTGCTTTATGTTCCGATACACAGGAAATGAAATTAGTTCAGCCGTCCGATAGGCGTACGGGCGGGAAAAAATCAGGGAGCCAGAAAGAAATTTACCCGACTTTTACCCACTGAATAAAATTTTCCGTGTAACTAAATTTCCAAAATTGTCGTTGGGAAGTAGACAAAAATATTTTCCTATTTGTCGATTCCTCGTTTACTTTTACACATTAGTCTGGTATTTTCAAATACCATATTGCATGTGCTGTCTTCTTTTTAAATTTATTTCCCCCAATTTTTGCCCGAATTTATACGTTTATAATTTGCATGACTTTATTTTGACTGGAGGGCGGGACTGCCTCCCCCCCCCCCCTCGCCCGTATGGCTATAATCAGCAATTGTTACGGATCGGTTATATATTGTGTTAAAAATATTTTGACTTTGTTGTTCCTGATGACATTTGCTGACTCTCGACTTTTTACTCTCGATCGACTCTCGACTTTTTACTCTCGGTCAACTCTCGACTTTTTACTCTCGACTCTCGACTTTTTACTCTCGACTTTCGACTTTTACTCTCGACTCTCGACTTTTACTCTCGACTCTCGACCTATACTCTCGACTCTCGACTTTTAGATACACTCCAAGTGCATAATGGTATTTTTAGATACTAGATCATGGTTTGTTTTGCCTCTGACCTCAATACTAGGACTGGATGGAGGCTGGAGCATGTGCCTACACAAATGAAGCAAGGGCTCTATTGTGTGTTGTTGAAATGTTAGAAGAGGCTCTTACGAAATTGGTTGTTTTAATTTATAGTGGCCTCTTTTCCGTTCTGAAATTCTTGAGTGAATAATTAATTACGTGTGTTTAAATTAATTAAAAAGACCTCATTAATAGCTAAAAGACTGCCTCGTCCCTCGTCGCTTCAGTTGGGAATAGAGATCAGTGGAAAAACAATGGGAGCGCGGGGCTTAATGGGAATGCGATAGACGCGTACGGATGACGGATGAGGGACTGTGAAAGAGTCAGGCTAAAAGAGGCACAGAAAGCTGTATCTTTCAAGTTACGTAAACGAAGATATTTGATTGATTATATGGCTAATTTAAACACGTAACGATTTGATTCGTAAGGAATATGACAGATTTAAAAATCTTTACTCATGCAGCATAAATATTCTGGTTTGAAAATTAATTCGCTGAATGCATAAGATTGCTCTATCCAGTCGTATAGTTTTGAGATCAGTGCATCATGTCCGAATATATTGACGTTTGCCAATATTCTTCTGCCTTTGTCTTTGACAGTAACAGATTGGGGCCACTGGAACGATTTTATTAGTGAGATTCTGCTTGATAATGAAACAGCATAAGAAGCAGACGCAATCAAACACCGCTGATTTTGAACTTCTCAGCCCAAGCGGAGCTTCGGTGGCGCAATCGTCTGAGCAATCGTTTTTCACCTCTGACATTGGGGGTCCGATTTATTTTGGATACGGTCGACTCATGTGAATTTCAAAGCGTCTGTTAACGCTCTGCCGAAAGTGGTGGGTTTTCCCGGGCGCTCCAGTTTCCTCCCACATGCAAAGTTGACAGGGTGGGTTAGGACCAGGTTAGGAAAAACATGGTTAGGAAAGTAATAGCATATTGTGGTAAAGATAAATAGTACTGCCAAGTAATTTGTAATACTGAAAAACCAGATAGAGAGTGATATCTGAATAATGTATGTATAAATATATTTTACCAGATGAACTATCACTTACCTAAAGGTTTTGAGGCTGCGTCAGTGAGCTTCAACAAATAGACAACAATTAGAACAGCGAAAATAGCAAGATATCCTTTCATATTTTGGTAAATTTATGGCTGGAAAATAAGTTCATGAAAATATGTTGAACTAGTATTAGTCGGGCAGATAGAAGGAATCCATAGAAGGAAACCATATCGTGGGACAATTCCATTTTGCCTTCATATTGTGCCCTGAAGGCTAGTAAGTACGTTTCTGTATATTGGCCGCGTTAAAATTTCTTGTGGGCTCCTGCTAATACGTTTTTCTTCGAATGTTGTATTAAACTCGATCTATTACAGTTAAAAAATGTGAAATTTCAAATACATTTCTAACACAAATGATTTACATCATTTGAAAGCTTGCAAAAAACACATATAAGACATTTAAACGGTTACCAGGTTTATCAAGTTCTTCTTGAGTTACGAGCTGTTGAATGCGTGTTTTCAGACTTGTACTAAGGAATTTTGCGAGATTTTGGCTTATTTTTCACATTTGAAACGGCAATAACTCGAAAACCGCTTGAAAATCCTAACTAACCATTTAAATATCTTATATGTAGTTTCTTGTTAGCTTTCTATTGATGCAAGTCATTTGTATTAGAAATGTATCAGAAATTTCACATTTTTTTAACTGTAATAGAGTTTAATACAAAATTCGAAGAAAAACGTGTCGGCAGGAGCCCACAAGAAATTTTAACGCGGCCAACATACAGAAACGTACTTCCCTAACCCTAACCCCAACCCCCAACCCTAACCCTAACCCCAAACCCTAACCCCAAACAAAATGGTGGTGTTCCTGTGGTGTTTCGGTGGTGTTCCGGTGGTGTTCCGGTGTTCCGGTAGTCAGTGTTTTACTACATGCCCTTTCAGGGCACAATATGAAGGCAAAATGGAATTGTCCCACGATATGGTACGTTTTCCATAATTTCGACCCTCTATCAAACAAGGATGCATGTCAATATCAGTATACGAGCGTTGGCAGTCATGTCACCATCGTGCTTTCCTGGCTAAAAGTATCTTGTAAGCCTATTTCACACTAGCAATTCGTTCGGGAATTTTTCTCCACCGGCCTGGCAAATGTGATCGAATGAATGACATGCAAAAGACTTAGAATTGTTTACTTTTGTGTGCGAGTTCACTCATTTGCATCCATCAAAAACACAAAATCGCTAAACTGGGCTTTATTCTATTTCAGTTAAAACAGCTGGAACATAAATCAAGCCTTTATTTTGTTAACGTGGAGATTGAATTCATTGAAATGTCCCTGTAACAATCCGCTGTACCTGCTAACTCTCATCATCCCCGTTTGACGGTTATGAGTATTGTATGCTACACTTATTATAATATGTATATACATGTATATTATTTAAAACAATTGGTACTTTTTACAACTTCTTAAAATTTATATTGAAATAATTCCTGTTGAACAAAAATCATACCTTTTCTACAAACGTCTTTTTGCTTCAATTTAACTTGTCACAATGCATATAACAGGCTCTTTTATAGTGAGAGAGGAAATCTATAATTAACCAGGGGATGTTACAAAATGGGATGTTTGTTATATTAATTAATTAGTAAACCTTTTAAATTTGTGTTCCGGTGACGTTAACTATAGTAAAATTAAAGCTAATTTAAGTGATTATAAGCATGATATGTTATTTTGACTGGACATGAAAACAAGAAACACAACTGGTATACACAGTTATAAGATAAGATAACTTTATTTTAGCAGGGTGGCCCATTCAGCACTAAGCTGGTATCCATAGGGGCCCTGCGTATATAAATATATCTATTTACACAATAAGAAAATATAATAAACTAAATTAGTAATAGTACATATATAAAATGTAAGTATATAATACAATGTATAATTATAAAACCTAATTGTACAATGAGTATTAATTAATAAAAACTGTGTCTTTGTATAAGAGACTTGAAATTAGACAAGGTCCCTGCCTTTTTAATTCGATTTGGAAGATTGTTATAAAGCAGTGATCCCGAGTATATAAAAGATCTCTTGCCCAGACTAAGATTTGGTTTAGGTAAGTGCAAATCATCTTTCCTTCTAGTATTATAAGAATGAATATTTGAATTCTTTACAAAATATCCACTTAAATATTTTGGGACTAAATTGTTCAAACATTTAAATACTAAAACACACTTGTGAATTTGTCTACGAGTAGATAAATCTACCCAATTTAAAATGTCAAACGTATTTCTGGAGCTTTCTCGTTGTAATATTATTCGTGCTGCACGGTTTTGCAGTTTTTGGAGGCTTAGCTTTGAGAACACCCGGCAGGCAGCTCGGACCGGCATACAGCATTAGTGTAGTCAAAAATAGGTTGCACCACTGAATTGTAAACACATTTAGATGCCTCAATTGTCAAGCAAGACCGTATTCGCGAAAGTATACCTAATCGCTTGCTCACTTTGTTGCAGATCTTTTCCGTATGTTCTTTCCATGATATTTGTTCATCTAGCATTACGCCTAAGTAACTAAACTTTGGCACTCTTTCAACTAGTTTGCCTTGTAGTTGGATGGTAAAGTCTCCGAAACGACCAAGTTTTTGTTTTGTTCCAAAAAGCATAACCTTAGTTTTGCTGTAATTTAAAACAAGTCTACTAGACGTCATCCATTGTGCAACACGATCTAAATCATTTTGAAGGGTTTATATTATCTCATTGGTATCAGAACCAGAAAAATAAATTATTGTGTCATCGGCGTACATACTGATTGAACAGCTTAATAGACATTTTGGCAGGTCATTTATGTGTAAGACAAATAATAACGGTCCAAGCACAGATCCCTGGGGAACGCCATAATTCAACACTCGGCTAGGAGATAGTTCGTTTGCATAATTTACTCTTTGTGTCCGGTTTGTGAGGTAATTCCGAAACCAGCTCATGGTCTGACCTCTAATTCCATAGTGTTCTAACTTGTAAAAAAGGCATTCATGATCGACAAGATCAAACGCCTTTTTGAGATCAACAAACACTGCACCTGTCACTTGCTGCTTGTCCATATGTTGCAATATATGGTCAACGACATGGATAACAGCAGTTTCAGTGGAATGATTGTTACGGAATCCTGATTGATGTACGGATAAGACGTTATTTTCTGTAAGAAATGCCAAACAATTTCTCTGTAAGAAATGATCCAAACAATATTTTGGCATGCATGAGGTGATTAGAGCATTCCTGCATTCCAGACCTAGGCAACTATTGTTATCTTTTTCGCGTGCAGGCGTGCTGCTCACGACCAAGTCTAAAATATGTATAGGGTATTAGTTGACATGCACAACTCAACGAAAACGAACGAATATTCAGTTATGTTAATAAGGATAGCTTATTTTATATGTCAAGATTACAATTATACATGCATATATCAAACATAGGTTATTGTTTAGCAAATGGCTATAAATTGAATCAAAATATAGTCTTTGGAATGTGTTATTTGGTTTTAGGATACACATACTTTTTGACATTCTCTGCATGAATAGTGAATAGCGATACAAATTGCACTTTTCATCCTTGTCTTCATGGAAAAATATTAAATGCAAGTATACAGTAACTTTAATAATGCCTTGATGTCTTTCAACCGTAGTCACGATGGACGAGTTATATGAGACTGCAACCGCTCCGAAATTTTTATCAGTTGTACTTAATCTTTTATTCTCCGTTTATTTGTGTGTACTGAGTGGGAATATTAAATAATTGTTAGAGGAAGCCGGAAAGGTATCTCGGCTTAAATAACGAAGTAAACCATGCATTAATTGTTAACCGCTAATCTGTTACTTCAGTGTTTCTATAAATTATTATTCCTTGCAAAGGCTGGTGCCCAAGCGAACATCCCAACTCCACGTATTGAGGGAGTCTTGTTTCCTAACTTTGTGAGTTTAATGGTCCGGATTTTTCAACGAATTACAGTAATGCCTGCCTGTCAATGTGAACATTTGTTTTGGAGTTTAACATGGGCACGTGTCAAGTCCTTTCTAAAATATTGAATATTTGACAATGGATTTCGAACAACTTATAATTGTATTGTCCTTGCGAGTATAAGTCCGTTCGCTGTGTAACACCAGTCGCAAATTCATGATGTGCTGTCAGCTGTCTTAACCAATGAGAATTAGCTCGTTTGTTACGTGGAACGGTATGTGATTATAATATTCGTTCAATATCAGACGTTATTTCATGATTGACTCGGTTTTCTTTGATGTACCGCGGGCTGTATATAGCATAATGCCCTTGAATACCATAAAGCCCTAATTAGTCAAGAAATAAGGGAGAAAACTAGAAAAATACTTGTCGAAATCGAAAAAAAAGAATAAAACTTTGTTAGAAAACCTCTTCAATCATGAAATAAGTCAGTTAAATATCTCGAATGTCGGGCTTTATGCTATATAAAGCCCTCGAACGGTTCGCGTTCTCGGGGCTGTATATAGCATAAAGCCCTCCTTCTCGGTATTTAACTCTTACATAATTCATGATGTGCTGTCTCTACCCGAATGAGCAGGCCAGTTTCTCTGCATTTTGACGAATAGATGGTTCGTTTAATGAGGCTATAAGTTCGTTTTCGTTGAGTTGTGCATGTTAACTATTAGCGACCTTAAGCAAGCGACGTTTTTGACAACACGAACGGCATGAGTAACATTAAAAGACTGGGTCAAGAATGTTGATTGGTTGATAACGTCAAATTTGCTTCCGGTCAACGTTCGTGTTGTCAAAAACGTAGCTTGCTTAAGCCCGCTAATGAGGCAACGAGGGGATATGTGATTTATTCACCGAGGCGTGCAGCGCCGAGGTGAATAAACACATATCCCTGAGGTGCCTCAAAATAACGTACTTTATATTTTTCACATTGCGAGGTCGCGTTAATGAGTCAGAATAGAAATAATTCTTAATACCATATTGCCTTCGTGATGTTGTTTTTTCTCATTTTTTGTGCTGCAAAGACATTGCAGGTGAATATTAGAGCGGATTATTAGAGCGGATTATATTAACTGGATTTAGTATAAAGTGTTGCTTAATTAGTTTCTTGAAGGTATTATAGAAATTGCATGGTCCTTGATGATACGGCGTTGTTGAAAGACATGACAAAAATCTTGTATCAACAAGTCTATACTTATAGTGTTAATATCAACAAGTCTATACTGATAGTGTTAAAATATTTTGTACATGGCCTCATACTCGGTGCTTTCTGACTTTGTTATTGTAGGCAATCGCCAATAGTTCTGAGTTCATGCTCTAAAAATCTATTTCGCATCACTTTTTTAATTTCATGGCATATGAACCTTTACCCCTAGCTATTGTCATGCGAATAAGCGGCGAGTATACGTCGAATTTTGGTCGCGTCAAATGCAATTTTAAGACAATAGATAATGAGATGATAAACCTCATTCAAAAACTCATTAATAATTCAGGAAAAACACAAAGAAAAATCATAGGCGTGTCGTGGTTTTATATGTGATAAAAAATCATGTTAATTTACATAAACTTTAGCTTTGATTTTCTTGGTTTAGACAAAGTTTATTTTAAAAATTACTTCGCCAATGAACTCGTATAAGATGAGTCGTTTTTGAAGCCATTTAAAGCACTTGTAGTCGTGTTTTATCACATATACTCCTACGCGTGCTTTAAATAGTACTTAAGCTTTAGATTTAGTAGGAAATATTAACAAAGACGGGATCTAGCCTAAAGCGAGCTAGCTCGGGTACCCGAGCGCCATCGCCTCAAATAAGCAGCCCCTATAAGGCTACTCTAATACAACTGTGGATTAGATTTTTAAACCCCAGGTACAGGTACGCAGGGGAAACCAAACCATTTTCTATATGCCATCTTATTTCCCCTGTGGCATAATAAACAAATATTAAACAGGAAATGTAAATGAGCTCAATATCAATGAGTCGTGCAGTGGATAGAGGGGAAATAAACACAAAAAGTTGTTCGACAAAGCTGCTGTTAGTCAGGGCGTCCTGTACGGTATACCATGCATATAGCTCCTCAACATTCGTTAACCATGTAAGTAGCAAATTTAATATTTTTATAGGTAGTAGTCTATGAACAGGTGGGAAATTTGTCGTCGCTGATCAAAAAATTGCGGGCAGAAACAAAGCTCATTGCATTTACATGCATTCAAAACAAAGCAGAAAGTTAGCAAGAAGCTGTTTTAGCTGACGATTTTTTGCTTTCCATTCAACGATTTACAAATTATTGGTTATTCTTTTAAAAGTCGATCATGAATTCTTTGTTTTGGGATGATTGTTTTGTAATCGCGTGATTGGAAGAAGTTAATATGGCGACGTAAACATGGGAGTAAATACCGTATACGTCGATCTATTGCTTGTTTAAAACCGTAATAAACGAAGAAAGACGTGATTTGAGAATGAAATGTATGTTGAAATTAACTTTATATGCCTCAAATTTTCCATCCTATGTTTCTTAATGTAACTTCAGCTGTCTAAGTTCAAAATACAAGCTCGCGAAATTGGACAAATTTTGAAAATATGTAAAAATAGCTTGATTTTGAACTGTACTGTTTTCTCAAAAATAGCCCATGGCCTCAATTTCAAATATAGCTAAATGAAAAGAAAAAACTTTTCGGCGTTTGTAGGTATCAAACATATCGTCAGGAAAATAGGGGCTCACAATGTTTTAGTTCAGTCTTTGAGACCCAGTTGCTTCGCACGTGTTGTGGTCAAATTTTTGCCAAGAATCAAAGGCCGAAATATGAACTTCCTTCATCTTTAAAACTTTTTTAAAAACTATTTTTTTAAAAAACTTGAAAATCTCCCCACCCCCGCGCGACCAGCTTCCCTTTTAGTGCCATTACATTTATAACAAGAATTCTTGTCTAATGCTTGTGGTTTTATGATTAACTCTATTGATAAATTCAAAATGTGCCGCGAATTTATCATAATGATAGATTCGGTCGTGTTTAAGAATTTACTCATATAGTAAATTCAAAGGTGGAGCTCATGTTGCTGTGATGGAACTCGCCTTTTCGAGACAAGTATTCCCATTGGGAAGAAGCAATGATTTTACCATTGTGTTTGTCCCGCTTCCTGAAATACACATTTTACAAATGATTATAACTAGAGAATACTTATGATTTATATGTGCATGGTTTACAGGTATAAACTATTATAAACTGGCCGTTGAGAAAGATCGTGACTCTATTTTTAAGACCATATGGAAACACGGTTAATAGAATTGAGATTGGAACCAAGCTTAACAGGGCATGCTTTTGGTAGCTTGGTCCAACCCAATAACCAAAAGATTTATCTATGTTGGGCATAATTATTGATAAGTAAAATTAACTCAAAATAAAGTGTTTGAATGGGGGTGTTCAGTGTTCTTACATTTACCAAGTAGAATTGAGTCGGCCTACTCCTGGTCATGAACGAAGCATGATACGCCTCAGTTTTGGACAATATAGAAATACGGCTTTAGACTTTATAGCAAAGAACATAACTCATAAGTGCTGCACTAAGTGCATGTGAATAATATCGAAATGACATTTCTACTTTATTATTTGTTATCTCCAACCCTTTAGGCAACACAAACGCTGGAGAATTGCTGTTGGTCTTTGTTTGCTGATTTTACTTGATGAGTTTTGTGTAAAAACGGAACAGAAGATTTCTTCTGTCTCTGGCCGTCAAGTTGCACATTGGGATTTTGAGCAGTCTCCAGTTACCTTCGTTGATAATCCGGAAAATTATGTTGGTAAATAAATTTTATTTCTTCGTTATAACCATATTCCACAGTTTTTGAGTGAAAAACGTTCTGTTCTGAATTGTCCTTAACAGTTAATTGATTATGTCAAAGTATTCCTTCAGTGTAATCTTGCGACGAAAAAGTCCCAATAACAATTGCAAAGTCCCGTTCAACATCCTCCAACATTGGTCCAACAATGAAAATTTTAAACAAAGTGAAATATGCTCCAACATCAGCGATTGCATCCAACAATGTTGGACCAACATGTTGGCCTCGTTTGAACCGGGTTTATGTAGTATTTAGTATATGGCAAGCAATGAAATGGCGGACTGTGGTTGGCTGAGAAGCACTTTCAGCGGTCCATTATTTTCCAGCGGTCCATTACGTAAAAACAAACGCATGCATTTTAAAACAAAACAGCAAAACTAATTGAAAATTTGAAAATTGTACTTATTTTATTATCAATAAGATATCTGCGAATGGCTTTAAGTGGAAAAGAAGGAAACTCATCGGTAATTTTTGTTTTCTTCCATCAAATGTGTACCACGCTACTAATATACATTTCAAAACATGCATTTCTTGTTTGTTTCGAGTATAAATGCCTTTATTATATAGTAGAGAGCGAGATACTGAGAAATACACAGTGACATATTTTCCATATCTTCACTAGTGAAGATATCGATCACGTGACTTTTAGTATTTATACAATTTTTTGCTTGGGACTATATAATAAACAGAACATTACACGGTGGCTTGAAGATATGACTTTTATCTTCTTGTGTTAAAAGCAATATTTTACTCACTCGCTGCGCTCGTTCGCAAATATTGTTTTCACCACTCCGGTCATATCTTCGAGCCACCGTGTAATATCCTCCATATAAATGCCATATAATGAACTTTTTATTAACCTCCCTTGCTCGGTATGTACAGAGAAATATCGGACCTCGGTCTTTTTGTACAAACCACGCCCTACGGGCTCGGTCTGTTAATTGTCTGTACAATACCTTGGTCCAATATTTCCGGCTCTGTACAGACTTCGCGTTCGATCGGTTAATAAAAGTTACTAATTAAAGCACGCGAGGAGTGCTTTATCAGATATAAAACACGAGTGCACAGCACGAGTGTTTTATATCTGATAAAGCACGATAGCATGCAAGAAATCGACCCATCTTATGAGTTTGTTGGCGAAGTATTAGGGAGTTTAAGCAAACGACGTTTTTGTCAACACGGACAAATTGTCTGGATATTTGTCTTTCCTCAGGAATTATTAATAAGTTTTTTGAGCGCGCGTATTTATTATCAATTGAGCATTAGGAAAGACGGCCTTGAGGCCCTGGGACCGAAGATGCTGCTGGATCAAAGTGCCCGGTTACGAATAGTAGCACAGTAGCCCCGGTAGCAACAAGGCTATGATAACCCATTATCTTGGGCAAAATGGTTAATAATGGCGTATATGACACCAGTGCATGCAGGGGCATCGGTAGATACAGATTGCATGAGTATCTCCTCATATCCAAACAGTTCTTATATGTGTAGTTTTTACCTTTACAGATGATTTTTATCAGTCAAATACTACCTCTGACCTGTCCACGAGGAGAGAAAAGCGTAAGTTAACCTTAATGGATAATTAAAAAAAGGAATTGAAATAGTTACAGAATACAGTACCTTGATTCTGTCATACAGGACGTTTATAATAAGGTTTTTAATTTAGTAATATAGATAGGGTTAAGGTATTAAATTACCCGACATGTAAAAAGTTTGGTTCATCTTTAATATCCTCGAAAAACATATGAATATACTAATATAGTTCCTCAATCCATCACCTAACCTGCGAACGGGTATACTCTGTGGCGATATATTGACTCTTCCATGATAATGAATAAATGCAGGTTTTAAGTAACACTGACTCTTCGATAGTCATTACTCTATTACCATTCTTAAATTTATATAAATGATTTTTACTGAAAAGTTAATGAATACTTTCATTATGTTTTTTGATGTTCTTTAATTATTGTTCTAAAACTAATTACATTAAACTGCCCAAGCCTGTGTAACTGAACTACATAAAACAAAGTAACGTGTTCTTGCTTATTCTAGGCGGTGTAGTTGTTGCGATTTTGGTTGGTGCCAGCATCGTGGCTTCACTGGCAAACCTTGGTTTTGATATTTATTTGCATATCAAGGGCTGCTGTGGTGTGTATCCATCTGCTTGCAAATATAGGGATGAATTTGACAGTTTAAAGAAAACCTTGTCAACAAAGAGTCGAAATGTTGACAATATATGGACAAGTGGTAAATATATATATAATCAATTGTGAATCGTAAGATTTGCAATCGATTTGACCAGAGGCTCTCTGCCCTCCCGTTTCTTTTGTCGTCGCTGTTCCATAAATCAGTCATTTTGGTATTTCAACAAAATTGCACTCCGTATTCAGTAATTAGAAATACTATATATTCACGTACATGATTTTCTCCTACAACAGCTGAAAATACAAAAGAATGGGTGAAACAATGCAATAACCAGAACCGTCAATTGTGGTTGGAAATAGATCGTATTGCTAATCTAGAAGAGGAGCTAATTGAAGCTCTGAGTATTAATCTTATCATTGCTTTTAACAACAAATCTGCAGAACTCAAGGTATAGTGAATGTTCCCTCCATTAACGTGTAATGGACATGGTCTTTGTAAGGACAAGTCATGCATTGTTCATGTTTCGAAAATTAGCTCGGTCATGCACGAACTAGAAGACGTGTACTCATGCACTCAGCTAGATACAACTAAGAAATTAATATAATTGGTGCAAAAAAACTGAAATCGTGGTTCACCTATTTTCATAGGTGCAGGAGGGGGGGGGGGGGGTTTTAAGTTGGGCAGCCGCAGATAGTCGTAAAAATCGGGCAGATTCTACTAAAAAACTGGACAGATTCTACCTAAACATCAAGCCAATGATGAAAGGGGAGCAAGACACGCATTTAAAAGCGTCCAAAGAGCAAGAAATATTTAACGTTGGGGAAACGTTTTGGAAGTCGGCGAGGTGCCGTACCCTCCCCTTCACTTCACGTGGTTATTAAAATTTATACTAATTTTTAACGTCCTGGTTTTAGGTCCGAAACTGGATTTTCTTGCGCAGTACAGATATTTTTTTATATATTTCAAAATATGATTCACACCGTCATTTTCGCACGCAATTTAATTTGCAATTTATTAACACAATTGACTACAGTCAACAGAAATACGTACTACATATATTAGAGCCCGTTGATCAATAAAAGTTGGGGTTTTTTTAGATTAAAAAAAAAATCGTGAGCGGGGGCCTTTTTTATGGGCGGGCGAGGAAGCTAACCAACTACTTTTTTTATGTGTCCTTATTGTGATACTCTGATTAAGAATTACATTCTTTTATGTAGGGGAAAATACGAGATAAGAACGAAACTGTATTGCTCCTTACCTCGAAACAACTTTCTGTGGAATACGATTCCCCTTTCAACTCCGTAAAAGGAACTTTAATTGCTGTCACAGGAGTAGTGGGTCAAGTGGGATCATTACTTATATCTAAGGCCTATGAAAGTTACAAAATTAACAAGGTAACTATGTTTAGTTTGAACTAAGTTCTTTATAATCTTGCATGGCGAAATAACCAGAATTGTTTTGTTTTGTGGAAACACCACGTATAATTAATATGCATGTTGTTTGCACAAAACAAAACAAAACAAATCAAATCAACGTTAGCTATCTCTTTGAAATATTCTATGAAAAGCATACATGTCGATGACAAAAATACATATTTCGTGGTGTCTTGGTTTTATAGTGTGGTCATTTTCTTAGAATTCAAATTAAAAGTGCATGAGCACCGTACGTTCCGCTTCATTGTTTCATTCATTTGAAATTGATCTTTATTTATATGGAGCATTAGCAATCAAGATATAAACTGAATAACATTTGGATTTAGTTTCCCGTTTTTCTCTTGCCGGTTTCGTGCCGATACACTACAAGCTTCTACTCATACGCCTCGTTAGTCAAACTAATCCCACAATATACCATACATAAATCATGCTAAAGGCGCTGCAGAATGGCATTTGGTTGATTAATTTAAAAATGTTTCCGAAGAATAGAGAGTATTGGCAAAATTATGTTACTATAGCTCGTTTCTTTTCATTTAGTTTACCGGTTCATTTCAACACCATGCTATTACTTCCAGTAATAGGTAGTTTAGTTGATCAGGCACGAACTATTTCAGATTATCAATATTTGCCCACAATTTCTACTAACAACATTATGTCTATTGAATCTTTATGGGATATGATGAAAGTGCCAGTAAGCTAATGTTTGACAAAATAATTGGAACTGACAATGTATGGTCATAGTGCAACTCACATGTAAATACCCTTTAACTATAGATGGCAAATTTACTGAAATCTACCGAGGGTTCTCGTTTGATAAATGCTCAACCGAAAGCACAGAAGCTTTTTGGTGTAAGCAAGACGAATATCAATTCACATTTTAAAGTAACAGCCAAGGCACAATACAAAGCAAATTATAAGCCAATCAGAGGAAAGGTGGCGGCAGGAGCCGCAGCAGTTTTGGCAGTTATAACAATAGGTAAGTCCTCCTCAAAAGACCCTGGGGACGAGGTTGTAGGTAAGTTGCAATTATTCTTTGCACACTTTTCCAGTCATGCAATGTAAATAATTTTGGGGATGATCCGCAATTTTGTTACAGAATATATTGTATACTATACACAACACAACACAACACAACACAACAGATACATTTACGAAGACAATTAAAGTTTAACTAAACAAGCAATTGTGCATGGGCTAATCATAGACAGGTTCAAGACCATTCAAGAAGAAATATATTCCCGTTCTCTCTGTCGCCCACTATTCACTAATACTGCACTAACATCACGTACAACGCAATGGAAAGAAGTGAGACGCTGTACATCATGTTAGGCGCAATATAGTGGGACGACGCATAGAGACTTGGAACAAGTCAACATGCCTTGACTGGCTTGAGGTTAAGACATCGTATCCTTCCACGTTCAATTTAAATCCTTAACGCTCCTGTAAATCTTTATATACTATTAAATATATTTATAGTAATTAAGTTACATAATTTTTAGGTCTTGAGATTTACGCAGCAGTAATGAAAGTAAAGGCCTGTCAAAGAGTTCGTGATAATGCTTATGATGCACTGAAGAACATGAGGAAGGCAAACAGCGATGTGGATGATATGTTAGTTAATGTCAGGGAGTATCAGAGACGGGTGACGGTTGAGGTGAGTTTTTATAACCGTATATTTTATGACGTCACAATGTTTAATTAATATACTCAAGAGTTAGGCGCGTTACAGAATAGCATTAATCGATTACATGCGGATCAATTCAGTGTAAGCTGAGACCGTGATTCCGTGAGATTACGCTACGAACACCGTTCCATGAAGCAAATTGTTTTCAAAATTACTTATAAAATTAATTGTATCAAATCATTTCATTTGTTGCTTCCCGACATTTCAGATAAAACACTCCTCGGCTTTTTTTTATTTCCCAACACCAGTGCCTAATTGCCCAAATATCTTTAAAAATGCGATTTAAAGCGGTATCGCACGATTCTGATGATAAAAACAAAAAGTAGTTAACGTAAACATTCTTTTTTATATCTTTCCTGTACGACTATGCCATTTTTCAAGGGATGGAACAAGATTAGAACTGAACTGACGAAGAAAGATCTCGCCGAAATATTGAAACAACTCCGCACGCTAGCGCTTGGAGCTGCTACCCAGTCGAAGGCCATGAAAGATGCTGTAACTGCAATTGACAACTTTCTGAGCAAAATAAGATACGCAAATTATCAAGCAACGTTTGATCTGCAACGTAACTTGATAAACGGCTTAGCTGGGCTTAAATATTCATTGGAATGTTACCGTAATTTGATTCAAGCAACATCGTACATGATAAAGCATTGCAGGAATGGTGATGGTCAATTCGCGGAACTCTGGGATCAAAGTGTTATTCATTTTCACCTGAATACCAGGAGCTGCCAAGATAAATCTGGGGTTCCTTATACAACGAAATCCAAAATGGAGGAGGCGATCAAAGCTCAGGCAAAAACGGATAACTTCAACGCAGATTGCATACTAAACAGCAAAGATGTCAGGTATTTAGTCTGCACAAGGAAATATAGTGGCTACACTGCGAAAGATATTGCAAAGGAATTCGATTTGTCTGTAAAGCAAGCAGAAATAATTATGCCTGGTTGCCCTCCTGAACCCCTTACACCCCACAAGGTCAAGTCAATATGTCAATTACACAAGGATGGAGTGAAAATAGATAACATCGTTACTGTTGTGGGGATGCCATTTATCCTAGTCGCTCTGGTGCTCGTCCATAATTGCACCCATACACAAGGACTCGGTTAATTAATTAATATAGTAACTGCGTATACACACACTCTTAATTTGTTATTCAACGATATTTGGTAAGGTCTCTATAAACATAATTTAATATGTATTTTTCCTGGACGAATGTTAAAGTGTCTTCTTATATGTATGAAGGTAAAATATATATATTCCTGTGATATAAGTTAATACAGTAGTTCCTTGATATAGTCATGTTTTTAAATACATCTTTTGCAGTTTGCACCTTGTTTGGAATATCGAAGTTTCCTTGATCATTGTTTCGCTCTATACCCGTACGGAAGGAAACTGCAAATTAGGGGGGCGGACAAAAATTTTGCCCGACGTCGAATGGCCCAAAAATTACAAAATTCAAATACAAACAAAGTTAATTAATACATTTTGCCAGCGTTAAATATTTCTTCTTTTTCGACTACTTTAGTTCGCGTTACGCTTCCCGTTAATCATTTGTCCGATTTTTAAGTAGAATTTCCCAATTTTTAATGTGGTTAAATGAATCGTGGTTGAATCATTGAATGGTTGAATCATTGAATCCTAAAGTTGAATCATTGAATCCTATAGACGAAGCTATTTCGATCAGTTCCATTTTTGAATTTATCTAATTTTCCTAAGATTGAATCATTGAATCATTGAATCCTAAGATTTGATCATTGATCCTAAGATTGAATTATTTAATCCTAGATTCAATGTTAGGATTCAATTATTGGATCTAGGATTCAATTATTCAATCTTGGGATTCAATTATTAATTCAATCTTATGATGTATAGGCTACGAAATAGCAAATACACAGCCGTGGTATAATGAAACGACTGTTTCGATTGCGCGTTCCGATTTGAAAAACAAAATTGCTACGAAGTGAAAAACTACGAAGTCAAATACGAAGCAGAATATCAAAATTCAAGATGCATGTATTTGCGGCATCATTTCTTTCATCATTTCAGTGAAATTTTTTCCGCATCGGCAGAGTACATGAAAAATTTGTGTGATTTGATAAATGCGATGAGTGTTTCTGGGGCAAACAGTTTAATTGTGGCCGATATATATTCAGTATAAAGTTCTCCCTGTAAAACCTGCGAAACGAATGAACTATGCAATGACTAATCAATGACATTATTGTGACGCCATTTCAATTATTACTATTCAATGGTTGCGTAACCTGATTATTATTCAATGGGACGTATAACCTCATTATTATTCATTGGTGGTAAGGTTGTGTTATCTCTGGGGGACGTACCTCGGGCGTCACTGGTGACGACATCGGCAATTAACTTCTCCCGCTATACAGGTTACCTACTCATGTGTAAATCACATGCTAAGATGACGTAATTCGTAAAATTTATATAATGATGTAATGTGTAAAGTATATATATATATGCGCTGATCGTGCTTATTAGCAACAGAGAGCGGAGAAGAAAGAGTACGAAGACACGGTGCGCATTAATATGTTTTCTGTTAATCTCATTATATTTTTGACGCTGTTAGTGTGTGGCACTAGTCATGCGAATCAAGCTCCCGGCTTGGGTTATTTATTCGTGAACGGTTCGCAGCCAGCATATTGCTACGACCTCAGTCCAAATGAAGTGTGCCCTCCGAATTTGGTGAACTATAAAATAGTGGGTTTCAACAGAGCAACGGAAGTAGTTGCCAAATTTGAACTACAAACTGTGAATCTCGCGCTTGATTTGCTGGATTTCTTTCATGTGAGTCAGTCTTGTCGAGATAGCGTCCGCTTGTATTCTTGCTCGAACAATTTCGCCGTCTGTACACCAGACAGTAAGTATGGTGTAAACTTGAGATACAATTACCTTAGAACCAAAGTAGCTTGTGAAAGTATTAAATCAAATTGTTCTGCAATTGTTTTCGATGGTATCACATTCAACTGTTCCCTAATACAGAAAGACGTAAGTGGGTATACCTATTGCGACGAGCTACCAGAAGTACAGGGTGATGTGTGCTCGAAGTCAAATTACAAGGTAAGACTTGTGCATTGCGTATTGTGTACTTTCAATCAGAGAGTTAGTGACTTAAACGCAATGAAGTCACGAGATCCCATTTATTTCCTCGGTGCACGACCATAAACCACCATGCTTGTCTAAAATGTTGCAAAAGCTGCGTGTACGGTAGTTACGGTACAGTATGAAAGTATGAAACGCACCTAAGGTGGTATCTGATACCATCATGATAAATTTAGTCGTGTCAATCGTAAACAAAGCTTGTTTGCAATGTCTTGTATAAAACTGCACAGTATTTCGCTTGTATGATGAGTCGATGACTATCGTACAGCTTTTCTTGCAATTATGCAGGATACTTTGTTTTGATGTTCTGTTTGGTTAAGATTTCAAACTTTGCCAAAAATTATGACATTTGAACAAATATGTACGTGTATATTTGCATGTTTGCGCCATGGGATATCACGATTCCGTATCTATTGGTCGAGGGTAAAAAGTCGAGGACGAGGGTAAAAAGTCGAGGGTGAGGGTAAAAAGTCGTGGGCGCGGGTAAAACGTCGAGGGTAAAAAGTCGAGGGCGAGGGTAAAATGTCGAGGGTAAAAGGTCGAGCTGAATATTTATTTATTTATTTATTTAATTTACCCGAAAACAGGAAGGGCGCACCCACAGAGCCGAAGCTCCAATAACGGGTTCCCCGCGTGAGTTGTAAAATACATAGAAATATTGTATACAAAGAGTTAAACACTAAATAGTGCATCACAACAAAAAACAACAAAAAGTCATCACATAATATAAAGAAAGGGCACTATAGCAACACAAAGTGTCAGTGAGTGAATCCAAAGGACGGGCTTTGTGACATTTGACACAAACAGTCTTGTATGTGTGCGGCAATTCTGGGTTATAAACAATAGAAGTTAATAAAAAATAGTAATTAAATAGACAACGTTTAAACGAAGACAATAAAGTTAAGTTTCTTAAAGATATTGGTAGAGTGTTCCACGTTCTGCATGCTCTGATATAAAAACTGTTTTGAAAGGTTACTGTTTTTGATTTGGTAATCTAAAGAAGGAGTCCTGATGTGGCACTAGAGCGTCTGGTTACACGATTTGGTGAATGTAGTTTTACATTTTTGTCGGAATTTTCATAAAGACATTTGAATAGATAAACAAGATCCAGGTATTCATGCCAGTAGGTAATTGGAAGAATGTTGAGTTTAGCGAGTCTTTTAGGATATGAAATATCTGTTTGAAATGGAAGAGATAAAATAAACTTCGTGCTGCGACGCTGAACTCGTTCCAGGGTTTGAATGTCATGGGTGGTTTGGGATGCCCACACTTGGCTACAGTAACCAAGCTGGCCTCTTACTAGGGCTAAATACAGGGTCTTTCGTACTTTAGGGTCACTTGCATGAAAACACGATCTTTTCACGAACCCCAACATTTTGTTGGCCTTATTTGAGACGGCTTGGACGTTGAGACTCCATTTAAGATCTTTAGAGACTATAACACCAAGATCTTTTTGTTTGTTGATTGTTTTAAGTAAGTTGCCTCCCACGTTGTATGAGTAATGGATCGGTTGAGAATTTCTTGTAATGCGAAGGAGACCACATTTAGAGTGATTTAAAGACATCTGCCACTCCTTGCACCAAGAGTCAATAGCATTTATGTCAGACTGCAAGACTTCGGCGTCCTCATAACATTTAATGGGTTGATAACATTTAGAGTCATCCGCAAACATTGCCAATGATGAAGAACTTGAGACACAGTCGGGAAGATCGTTTACATAAACCAGGAAAAGTAGTGGTCCGAGTATCGATCCCTGTGGCACACCAGATAGGACAGGTAATGGATTCGAGGTCTCGCCGAGAACCGTTACCCTCTGGTAGCGACCAGAAAGATAATCACGTAGCCAAGATAGGAGATTACCGGAGATGCCAAAACGTTTCAATTTGAAAAGCAGCAGTTCATGGTTTACTTTGTCAAATGCCTTGGCAACGTCCAAGTACAGTGTGTCTACTTGACACTTGTTGTCTAGATTGTTTCCAATGTCGTGTAACACCTGCAGGAGTTGACTAGTAGTTGACTTGCCCTTCAACTGCAGGGCCGTTGCGAAGGGATATGGATTGGGGGGGTGTCGAAGGTCAAATTGCCGAGTGACGCTAGTTTAATTTGCCGAGTTTTTCAAAAGTTTGTAAAGGTTAGATATAGGTAATGAGAAGTAACTGAGTAACTGAGGGACACCAATATGGCTCTTGTTTTGAAATGGATGCCTGTTCATGGGTTGTTGCTAAAAAGGAATCGGGTCACAGCTCAATGATGAGCACCGCTATTTTATTTTCGTGCGTTTATTTTCAGATAGGAGTATTATGTTAATTTACTTATATTAAACATATAAAGCTGAAAAAAATTTAAATTTAATTAACATAATTTATACTGTGTTTTCATAAGTCCTAAATCGAGACTGAAACTATGTGCACACGGGTCACGTTTTTGAGCGTTTTTGTAGTGGCGTTTTCAAATTTAGCGTTTAGGCGCCTTGTTCACTTTGATCGTTTTTCTCGCAACATTTTCTGACAAAGCACTAGTTTTTTATAGTCTTTGTTTCCAAATTCAAACACGGAATTTCATTTTCGCCTTCCACTTTTCTGTTTACACAATAACAAAGTGCCAATAGGACCAAACGTTTCAGGCATAGAAAACGAATCTTTGGCACCGTTTTCACTATATTTGAAACGTTTTTGTGCTTCCTGACGTCGTTTTCATACGTTTTCGTGTGAATAGAACGTACGTGAAAATGGTACTTTCAGTTTCAGAAATTAACGCATTACAACCAAAACCCGAAAACCGCTGTGAAACGGTACCGTGTGCATATAGTCTGAGTAACCAAGTATCTGCATGTGATTGCATTGATATTTTGTTTCAATATTTTCATGGCAATTTGATGAATTTGACCTTTTTTATCCCCAGGCGCCGAATAGACAATTTATAATATTTTTTGTATTTTGAGCAGTTTTAAAACTCTTAGTGCCGGATAGTGTTAACTGGGTTTTTGTACGACCCGATTTTCCAAGAGTTTAAATTTTATGCGTCTGAAAGCGAGTAAAACGGATATGATCATATGCAACCGATGATACCGATCGCTGTATGCGGTATGTCTTTCAAAACTGTGGGTTGATCCTCGAGTTAACAGTAATTTCGCTAAAGAACTAAAGAAGTCAAGTCCGTTCTTATCAGTGGCATGGCTCGTCTTTCTCTTGGTCTTCTTCTCATGTGCCTGTGGAGTCTTCTTGAGGATCTTGCGCCTCTGACGACTCAAAATATTCTCTTTGGCTTTGACTGCGCTTTGCAGTCTCAAACGGATTAGCTCGTACGTCTTTATGTGCTACTCGCACTCGGTTTCCCTTATGGCAAGTTTGCTCGAGCCTCGATCTTACGGTAATCGTCGGGCCGTATGTTAGATAACTTTTATGGTTAATACGTTTTCCCTTGTGAAATAAATAATAAAGTTTCTATAGTCGTCAAAAATCGAATTACATTCAAGACACTGAAGTTTTATTATTTTTCTTTTGGGTTTTGAACCGCGCATAATTAATAAAGAGCTTCCGCTATAAGAGCAGTCGAGCGAAGAACATATTTTACATGCCCGGAAACGTGGGTTTCACATTTCAGCCTCCCGTCGATTTTCGACAAATAAAAACTAATAGTATTACTAGAAAATAGAAATACATTTAAATGGTTTTGACATAAGGCCACACAAACCATTATTTTAAATCCCAAATTTATCGCTTTATTTATCGCCTTCGTTCTTAACTTTTACAATTTGCTGAATGCCGATTTCGCAATTTGCCGAACAGTAACGAAGCAATTTGCCGACTGGGGCCGACTTGCGAAAATTATTGGGGGGGTGAAGCACCCCCCCACACCCCCCGTTCGCGACGGCCCTGCCTTCAAGAAACCAAACTGCAGATGATGTAATTTTTCTCCAATGTGCTCAATAAGCCTGTTGTAGATACATCTCTCAAGTACCTTGGATACAAGTGATAGAAGCGAAATAGGTCGGTAATTGGTAACATTGCTAGAAGACCCGCTCTTTGGGATTGGCGTAATGTTGGACAGTTTCCATTCTTTTGGCAACTTACCAATAGACAATGTTTTATTGAAAAGCTCAGAAAGAGACGAGCAGATACTGGAAGCACAGTGTCTCAAAAGTGTGGCTGGAATTCTGTCAGGTCCTGATGCTTTATTCTGATCTAGTGTGCAGAGACATTCGTAAACTTCCTCAGGCGTAATAACGATATCCTGAAGTGTGTCAATGGTATTATAGTTTTCT